GTGGAGCTCTACCCTGGGAGAGTCGAGTCCAGACGTTATAACCTGTCTCGTCAATGAAGACTAGATGCGCCAGAACACCATGCTGCAGGAACCACTCACCATACTGGACGCGTTGATCAAGAACTTCAGGGGAATTTCTTGCATCAGGGACGTCCTCCACTAGTTTCAGTGTAATCATCATCCCATCCAAGGCCCTGGCTATGGTGGCAGTAGAAACCTGGGGCTTCTCTGGCAGATGCTCACTCAAACTAGCCTTCATTTGTTGAAGTGTCAAGACGGGATTAGCGTCAAGGATGCCTTGCAGATGGTTTCGCATGTCATCATCCATTTTGCTGTGGGTTGCTCCTCCTCTTGCCAGCGTCTCTCGCCTTCCAGTCCTCAAATATGTTGCAACAATTGATCTGGCTGTGGACTTGTTGATGTTCAAATTGACCGCAAGCTCAACAAGGGCGGATCCAGAACACAATTTTTTGGGGGGCAAAAAAAAATGTTGGTCCCCCAAAAAGTGGGTAAAAAAAATTACGGCGTGGGGTTCGGGGCCTGCTTAAAGGGCCCCGACATTTTTTTGGATTCTAGATGCTCTCTGGTGCGATCTGAGGCAATTTCTGACCACTTTAACCAATGTTTTTGGGGGAAAAGATGGTGGTGTACTCATTGCCTGCCTTTATTGCGATGTCACATAAAAAAAAAATTGGTTTCGTTTTTTTTTGGGGGGGGGGGCCATGGACCCTGTGCCCCCCCCCCCCCCCTGGATCCGCCCCTGAAGCTCAAGGTAGTCTTGCTCGTTTCCCTCGAAGGCCTCAATCAACCTTTCTCGATCTACCTGGGCCACTCTAGCGTAGCGACCACGAGCTGCCATTTCTAGAAATATGCGTGTAAAACTGTAGCGAAAGCTCGTCTTCGAAGTACATCGGCAAAGTGACTCAAGTGCCAAAAAGTGAACCGTATTTATGCCTTCAACATTCTTAAGGAAACAAAAATTTAACAAAGCGTTTTTTAGATTGCACAAATTCCAGAAAGAACTGCCTAAAAATGAATTTGAATGACTAAACACACGCCTCAAAAAGCTCCTGCGAATTTGAATGCTGCTTTGTTGAATTGTTAAATTGCATGATTATTTTGTTAAATCGAATGACGCAACAGTACATTTGACTGGTTATAAAACGAAATCGAATGACCCTTTTCAGTAGCATTTGATTTCGCGCGAAATAGAATAGCGTAGTGGTTAAATTGGCTGCTCATTTGCCGAAATTGACCGAGAAAACCTATAATAATACCTAACTTCCGGTTTGATGACGTCACAGCATTAAAGATCGAAAAGTCAACATTGTAACCGGTATCATTATTTGGGCTACGAAAACAGTCATAAGACAGGGATCAAATGTTAGAAGTTAAGGGAAAAAATGTCATTTTTTAATTCTTCCTACAGTAACTTCCGGTCTGATGACGTCATAATTTTGAAACCTTGCAAAGTTATATATAGATGATAACAAAATAACAAGGGGCAATTTGGTAAAATTTGGACGGATAGTTTTTAAATTAAAACAAAAGGAAACCCTATTTAATGTTCCGCTAGAGGGCGCCCTTTCAAAATGACGTCATAATGCTGTTTTTGTGTCCTTTATTCCGTTCTTAACACTTCCATAATTTATTTGCAATAGTAAAGAGCTTCCGCTTTCGAGTTATATTCAATTTTTATTTCACTTCCGGTAACACCGGGCAGTCCCCCGTTGCCCCTCCCCCCCCCCCCCCCCGCCCCCGCTGCCCCCCCCCCCCCCCCCCCCCCCCCCCGATCTTCCAATGGACCAATTTCGGATGGGGTACATTGAGCAATATATCGTCGGGTGCCCGGCAGAAGGGCATATGAGCGTTCTGACGCAAAACTCATTTTCAAGAAAATTGCAATGAAAGGTTTCATTGTTCCCCTGCGCGCATTTTGAATCAAATGTTTAATATTTCATTAAAATGGAGGCAGTTTTCTGCATATGCCCTTTTGCTATGAACATTTTGGTCATTATGCGCTATTGCATAAGGGCATATGCACATATGCCCTTATATATATGCATATATGGAGGCACATATGCCCTTATATATGCATATATGGAGGTAGTTTTCTGCATATGCCCTTTTGCTGGGAACATTTTGGTCATTACGCGCTATTGCATAAGGCCATATGCACATATGCCCTTATATATGCATATATTAGGCAGTTTTCTGCCTGCCGGGCACACGACGATATGTTATTACGTAGCTTAAAGGTTAACATCAAGCAGTAAAAAGGTGCGTATGAACATTCTGGCTTTCTTAACGGAAAGAATCACACTTACCACTGGTTGATAATGAGGCAATCCAAACTATCAACAGCAGGAAATCCAACCTCAACCCCATTATTCTGATCTCAAGTTAGTATCTCTTCTGATAGCTGGTTTCCAGTAGGCGACCGGCTAGTAGCGATATGAATCGCTGGAAACAGTTGTCTTTCATCGGAGAGGTTTTAAAGTAAACTCCATAATGTGCAACTGCTAATGTTCTGAATCCAAAAAGCAATCGCAGAATTTGAACAGCTAGTTTGGATTAATTTAGGAACAGGCAAAAAGGCTCGGGTCGAATGCTTGTAGTTTAGTTAAGACACACGGACCACTGACAATAGTTGAGAAGTGACTATTGTTTTTCACTGACCACAAAACAGTGTGCCAACATCTTTCAGGATGCCTTGAGGCTTTATCCAGAGTACGCGCCATTGTCAGAATGGCGCCTAGCCTTGTGTCAAGAGGATGAATAAGTAACCAGTACACGGCTCTTAATGTCTGCAATATTTATTATGAGTCAATTAACAGGGCTACATCACACGCAAGGAGTTGAGAATGTTTCGAACCACTGAAAATCTATAAAGAGATGGTACAAGTAAAATAATAGGAAGTCAAAGTCGTCTGAAATAATGATCAATTGATATTTTTTGGATGAATGACATTGATATAATGAGTTCCGAAATTGAGATGCTGTCATAAAATTAGGGTTTATTTCGGATGCTTTGATTCCATCGTTCCTTGCTCTATGATTCCATCAAATGCATTATTTTAATACTGAATTGCCATTATTGCGCAGAAAAGGAAAATAAATCGTATTGATCTTGGGGGTAACATATCGCTGAGATACAGTTTGTGTTATCAAAATTATATTAGTGTGAATTTTTCCCTTTTTGTTTCTGGTGAAATGTTGATAACATTGGGTCGTATGAATAAACACTAGCAAATGCTTGGAAGTTTAAGCAAAATAGTGTAAAAGCAGTTACTTTGGAGTAAAAGCCTTAGGGAAAAAGCAAATGCTTGAATCAATAAGAAAACAAGATTTATTGTACTGTTCAACATTTTTCACTAGACTTTCAATGATGGGAAATACTTCTACCTAGCGCGCACACACACAGGTTTCACACGTGCGGCAACAGTTCAAATCATCAAAGTGATGCATACACTATAGTAGTAGAAGTAGTAGAAACATTTATTTCAATGTTGCCATTTCCACACAATGAAATGTTACAATGCCGTGTAAACATATTATACAGAGCAAAATGCAATGAATTATGTAATTGTGTATAATAATGTACATGGATCAATACTAGAACAAATTTACGACAACATTTAGGTATAAGGTGAAGCGTCACGCTTTTGTACCCTAACCTATCGACAGACAAGTGGACATGACCGAGAAAAACAGAGACAGTGACAAAGGACAAAATGGACAAGGTGATCCTCAAATCCAGCTAAAATGATGAAGAAAAATTTCCCCAGTTGCAGAAAGTGTCCTGTAGACGAAGTCACAGTTGCATAAAAAAAATATAGAAACTTTTTTTTTCAGCCGGTAAAATCATACTGACATTTTGAAAATAATATTGAAAAAAAAAATAAACGTTTGAAAAGATTTATTACCGAATAGACGGGTGATTATTTCATTTTCATCATTTTCATCGTTATGTGCTGCATCGAAATTTCAAAGTAAAATTTCGCAGATCTCGAATAAAACGCGAAACTATCGTTTCTTCTAGTGATGAAATTAAAAAATGTTGTTTTTACTTTCGCGTGAATGTGAATGGAAATAATTTTTACTCATTTTACGCGATTAACATTAATAATAATGCAGCAATTTTCGTGCAGATGCATTTGCTATAATTTTTCAAGGTAAGGCCAAAAAAAATAATAAGTCGGTCTCTGGTCAGCGCGCGCGTCGATTTTAATCATGCGCGTCGATCTTTTTTTTTTCCAAAATGTTCCGCGGTAGCTCCAACAGCGCCCTCTATTTCCGCACCTCCTCATTTTTTTTTAACCAAAGAGCACCAAGGAATGGGAAATTGCACCAAGGCAAATGATCGAAAGCACCAAGGCAAATTATGGAGGACACCAATATACATGAGGACACCAAAAAAGCAAAATAGTACCCACCTTGTCTGTACAATCCAAGCTTGAAGAAAAAGAAAAAAGCAAAAAAAAAAAAAAAAGCCGCGTGGCCGCGTCAATTCCGGAACTTTGGTCGGACCAGAGACCGAATATTATTTTTTTTTGGCCTAACCCCAATCCAGCCTTGAAAAATGACCAGTGAATACTTGAAATCTGAAGCATTTACTCCTTTTTCATTAATACGAATAAAGCAAACGCTTACAGTCTAGAAAAAGCTAAAAAGTATAAAGTAGGCCTAATGCTTTAAGGTGTTGGCAAACGCTTTTTGGTAAAGCGTTTAGCTTCATTTTATTCACACAGATGCGAGTAAAGGCTTCAAAAATTGGCAGTAAAAGCAAATGCTAGTTTTTATTCATAGCCCCATTGTCACCCCATATGCATCAGTGCTGTCTCGCTACATACAATACTGTCGGCACTTAGCGTGCGATTAGTATATGCAGGAGGCACATCAACCGCTTGCTTCGTCAACGACATAGCCTATGACGTCACAAGAAAATAAATTATAAAGCTCATAGTCTAGTGCATGCACAGCATCCATGCATACACGGACTGTCTATAGTGATATCAGGGCTAGGCTTGACAACAGCCATCATAATCATCATTTTCTGGCTATACGGCGTTTTGGCCAATGCGCGCCACATAAAAAAATGGCGAAATGCCAAGTGCCCGAGTGCTTCAACCGGCGCGATAAGGACAAAGGCAAGAAGAGTTTCTTCCGCATCCCCGACCCGGCCAAGGGGTACCGGGACCTGGCCCAGAGGTGGCTGACCAACATCGGCTCGGGTAGGCAGGTGGAGGGCTTCGTCTTCTCCAAGAACAAGCTGGTCTGTGAGGACCACTTTGAGGTGACGTGTTTCAGGGAGGATCTGCAGGCCCGGGTGCTTGGTTACCGGCCGGCGCGCAAGAAGCTCAAGCCGGGCTCCGTGCCAACCATCTTCGCGAGCTGTCAGGACGGGAGGCGGGACCCGCAGCGACTCTGGCCCAGTCAGCATCTCACGGTTGGCCGCAAGGTAGGCAGTTTTTGGTGGGAATGTCAATTGTATTGATGACCTCTCATGAATATTCATGTTTGGTTATTATGAGCGCGTGCATTTCGAACGGTAATAGCTAGGCAGTCATGCTCTTCAACATGTTCCTTTTCCCCCTCTCAATAAATTTTGATCTTTGAGCGTTTTATTTTAGCCAAAAATCCTTTTAAAAGTGGGTGTTTATAACCCTCGAAAAAAGGCTTTTATTTTGGATTACTTAAGCGCACAAATGAATTTGCCCAGCCCCGGTTCCATAAAGGTGGTGGGAAACCGTGGCGGCGCCAGACTCTTCAATTGGTGGGGGGATGGGGGCGATTTTTTTCTCAAGCAAGGGGGGGGGGCAAGGAAGACAATTGGGGGCAAATGCCCCCGGGCCCCATTGCCCCTCCCCTTCCCGTAGTGCAGCCTCTGTGGAAAACATCCTTCCCTTAGAGAACTGAATTATTGTCCGATGGCAAATAACTGGAAAGGCCTCATTAGTCCATTACTAAATGCAGGCCGATTTTGGTCAATGTCTCAAAAATGAATTTCTTTGTATTCCTAGGGAAAACATTGCAATTTCATTTGTTCTGGTGACGACACGCCCAGTCGTATTTCTCGTATCCCTCCGCTTATTTTAAAAGCGATGTTTGGGGACATCATTCTGTTTGTCGTCACTGTTTAGGAAATGTTGTAGATTGATCCAGTGCTCAGTTTTACGATAAAAATAAAGAATGCTGAATTCATCTTAAGAATTATGCATGCAGGTCTACGTCTCATAAATATTAAAGGCACGCGCGCGCGCTTGGTACGCAGCAAATATTGGCAAACATCTGGCAATTGATGGTGAATGGACCAGTGAAAATTCGGCTCTCGATCATGAATATTGTATGAGGTATAATACATTCTACCTCACCATTACCTCCACTCAAAATCACGTGAGATTGTATTGTCTGGTTGTACTGAGGTATGCCACACATTTTAAGGAACAAAAGAAAGCAGAAACGGGCCTACCTATATAACCGGCCGTTTCGTGCTCATTCATCAGTTATTCAAAGTAGCATTTATTACACTGGCTGAACCCAAAATTATGGACGGTGGGGAACTTTTAGGGAGTGCGTCACGTGACTCCTCATTACGGTAATGGATAGGTGGAATCCCAATCGAACTTCACTTCGTTCGTTTAATTGGGGAATTATACGGGTTGAGACAATAGTTCGGCTATATAGTTCTTTAATTATGCGTTGCAGGTGTCTCGATCAGAGGCTGTTCTTTGTTATTTTAACTTAGTAACAATTTAGTGACAATGAATTCACAAAAGGTTTACTCATGCCTATATTAGCCAGTCAAAACCACTGCCCTCTAATCCGCCTCAACACACAAGGTCTATAGCCCTAAAAAAAATCATCAAAAATAATGCAAATTTTGAATCTGATCGTCTTATGATAATGTCATTTATATAGACCGGAATATTGTTAGCTACATTTTGATACCCCGTTTGCTACCAAAGACTGTAAATCGTCCAACATTGACAACGGTTTATGAAAAAAATGGCGATTTGAAAAGTTGCAAATTTAAAGAGTACGCGAGTGGAAATTTCTGCGAGTGACAATGTCGCACTGCCCGAAACGAACGGCAGGGAATATCAATCGCATAATTCTTAAGATGAATTCAGCAGCAGGTGTAGTGCATGGGAGCACGCGCATTGAAGTACCCGCGCTTCGTTCGGGCACTGAGCAGTCGATTGGGGCCAATTACGGGCATGTGTGTTTACGCTTTGCAATTTCTCCATGCGTATAATCTTTAAATGTGCAACTTTTCAAACTGCATCATTTTTCATAAACCGTTGCCAATCTTTGACGATTTACAGTCTTTGGTAGCAAACAGGGTATCAAAATGTAGCTAACAAAATTCCCAAAGGTCTATATAAATGACGTCATCATAAGACGATCACATTCAAAATTATGACCCCTACAATGAGTGTGGACTTTCCTTTTTTTGCGTACAAAATTAATGTATCCTTAATGATAATTTTTTTCCTGTTCGGTTATACATTTAATAGGGGGACAAGGTTGTGATTTTCCTTGAATCGATTTGAAATGGTACAATTCTCGATATAATCATAGTGACATAAATAATGTTTAAAAAAATTCTGCAATAGACTTTTTTTAAGTTTGTATTTTTGTTCTTGAATACAGAGTTCCAAAATACGTTCCAGGCTTAAACCAGACCTTTCACTTCCGGTTCCGGGTGAACTTCAATCGATTTCCAGTTCTGTCTACGGAGCCGGTGAGATGAGCGGGCCAGCGGAACCACCGCCCTCCCAGGCACGTGTGAGGATGCCTCTCAACTCCCAACCCCATCCCACGTACCCAAACCACCCACCCCAAACCACTAAGCTACACCAAAAACGCGTGCGGTCACTCGCACTACATCGTTAACATCGCTGTACTGCAACGTCAAGAGCCAAATCCGGCAATTGGCACATTCTGTACACTATTGGTCATTTTCTACAAATATACTGATTTAATAAGAAAAAAAGATGGCTTACCAATAAAAATAAAAATAATAATAGTTGGTTTTTATAAAGCGCACGAAACCACCACGACTGGCGCTCAAGTTACCCCTGCTCATTGGGCCCATGAAGCATTCCAAATACCATCTCAGCTCCCCAGCTCGATGCTGCCTGTTACTGTTAGGCGCAAGGAAGCTATTAACCATCTCTGCCCTCACAGGTACCCATGTACTCCTGGGTGGTGGAGAGAAGCAAGGAGTGACAAAGTGCCTTGCCCAAGGGCACACGCACCATGACCCGGCCCCAGGCTGGACTCGAACCCACAACCTGCTGCAGCTTTACCCGCAGACCACGAATCCAATGCCTTTAACCACGAGGCCACAGCATTCCACTCAAGCTAGATGAACGTTTTCCTCACATGTATTCATTTAGACCAATATTCATAAAGACATAATAAGTGAGTGTTTATGAATGGAAAATCAGGTGAAGCCACTACATGCATGATTGTGCAAGCAAACTTTTGACGGGATGGTGTTATGTTCGAGTCAATAACAAGTCATCTCAAGCCAAAAGCTGTTCACAAATGAACTTGTGACAAAACTTCACAGAAACATTCCATTGTCATTATTGTTCAACCCGTTTCAGTCAGGGGCGGATCTAGCTTTCAGGAAAACGGGGGTTGGGTGCGTGTGTGGGTGTGGGTGTGGGTGGGTGTGTTTGTCTTACATACGCAGTATGGACTTCCGAACAAAAGACGTCCACATAATGTAGGTAGCACCGACGTTGTGTGGACTTACCCCACGTCCACACAGTGTTTCCCCATTTCTGGAAAACAGGTTTAGAGGCATTTTTGGGTTAGGTTTATCTGTAGCAGAATGAAGAGAAACACTAAAGGGAATCATAGAAAAAAAATTGGGTTGAAAGAGTTTTCACAGTTTGAGAAAAATGAGTTTTTTCACTGGTTTTTCTTAACTACACGAAAGCAATGGAAAGTCTACACTAGTCATGTGAAACAAGTATGGGTGGGTGGGGGTGTGTGTGTGGGGGGGGGGGTGATACGAACGGGTGATGAGCGAAGGCGTGCCAAAGGCAGGTATTCTGCATTCTAAGGCAATTTGAGAATAAATTTAGGAAATTTAGCACTCCGTTTTTGTTTTTTTGGTGGCCCCATTTTATAATAGTTTAAGAATTTAGTAAGCAGGTGAACTGCCGCTCCCCCCCCCCCCCCGATCAACTACTGTTTCCTGTGACTGGACTTGTGAAAGGTCTTGTGATTTATTCTTGACTGGACTTGTGATGGACTTTTGGCAGTGAACGCGGCTCGACTAAAACAGTCACTGTCATGTGACAAAAGCTCAAATACCAAGTTCTTTGATTTTTTTCCCCGTAGCAATTACCAAATTCCTTGCCAGCTGAGAGCACGATGGGAGACCAGGATGACTTCACGAGAGAGCCGGGTACCAGGCAAATTCTGACCCCTGTGGTCAGTGCTGCTATGAGTCCACCTGACACATTGAATCTGGCTCCTGGGAACCACCTCAAAGTATGTCAAATGTCCTTGTTTAATGCAGTTTGGTCGATGGCCGCAATTTTCTTTCTTACGTCTATGGCTAAGGACTTTTAACGGTGATGTTAGCCATACTCAAAGACAATATATGATTAGCCACAAAAAATAGCTTCACGTATGCAGCTATGTGCTTGTGCGTGGGTAAAGAGAGCCAGTCTAGTATCCTCCTTAATTGTACCTTTCTTGATGACTGACTGACTCACTGACTGCCTCCCCTGCAGTGAACAAGGCAGTGCTATTGTATAGGATTACCTGAACTGCCAAAGAATGAGCTTAAACCGATCCATCGAGTAGACGAGACGCATGAAAAGACTTCAAGTGCGCTCTGGCACAAGCTCCATTCGGCTGTGTGCACAAACCAAAGACGTTCGACTTAATTTGGACACTACGCCTATGCGGTAGCCCTGAAAGGACATGTAATGTCGTCAATGTGTTTTACGTTCGGATGTCGCTAAAACGGTAACCAGGTCAAAAAAATGATCAAAAAATGGTGACGATAAATTTGGTGCCAAAAAAAAAAATCCAAATGTCTTACGAAAAAGAAAAGACTTTAAATTGTGCGCTCTTTTCCCTGCTCTTTCTGTTCGAGCGATCTTTTCCGGCCAAAATATGGAAATTATAAAAATTGATCTCTATCTGTTCTTTGGGCAGGTTCGCCTGGTGGAATTCGCCGACAAGGAGGTGCAGACGGATCCCGTTCTTATCTTGCCGATCAGACGATACAACTGTTCGCAACGCGACAGGGTGTCATAGGCCAAGGGTCAAAGGGTGAAATGGAATCCACAGTAACACCAAATCCATAAGACTGGAATTAGGTACACATCAACGCATTCTCATCATAAGATGTTCTTTGCTTTAATTTATGTACAAAATATCTTACATAGTTATACTCTGCCAAACAAAAAATAATGTTGACTTCATATTGTGCAATTTGTTTTTGAAATGTATTTCTTGATAACATTCAAACATTTCCCGTTGGTGTAAAATTCAAATATCTGCCTATATAATAGCCTGTGAAATTTCTAATAATTGGGCAACAATTGTACTTAATAAGAGTAAATAATTCCATTCTATTCCATCAGCCGTTACTATTTTTAGACATTGATCAATCAGATACAAAAGAGCACCTCATTTTTTTTTTGCTGCTAATTTTCACCCCAGTGCCTGGCATTTTTTTCCCCAGTCAAGATTAAAGGCAAAACAGTGAGGTGGCCACATTTGAACACTAATATATATCCCAATATTGACTTCTGTGCACATTACAACTCTGAACCTGGTACCATTTTCTATCCACCCTAGCATATCAAGTAATCCAATATGTCATCGTCTGCTCTAATATACTGAGAGTAAAACAAACCACAAGTATAATGTGCCAGCAAGTAAAATCAAAGATGCATTTTCACAACTAAAAGGTAATATACAACATTTTCTTTTGCTGTAATTTTCACAGATGGATTTAGGGGTTAGTGTTTTACAGCAAATATTGTTACACTAACCTGTTTAAAGGTTTGAGTTCATAGATGCTGGAAAAACCAACAAAAAAAAATATGCTATTCTTGTAGTCTGGTTCCCTGACCCTACTTTGACGAAACGGAGCAATTTATAGACGTTGCGAAATTGTCATGTCATTGGGAATTGATACAAAAATTCCACTTTTCTTGAAAATGCAGCACACCAGGTGCCATGATTTCACAGTATGCTTGAGACTATTATTCACTTACATTTATTTCATAATAAGTTGGTAATTTTGTTTTTTGATGTTTGCAAATGTTGTATTATTACCTTTAAGCGTCAAACTGACATATTTATCCACAATTTGAAATTCCACAACCGTCATCTGCCCAGACATCCTACTTCACCATCAATGATTCTAACATCCCAGAACCTGATTTTTGTGACATTTTGCTTAAGGGAGATTCTAAATCACAAACTTTTGTACACAATTCATTTCTCGTGCAGTTGAATATAAATGTGTGTGGCAGTACAATTACAAAATGAGTCTGTATTGATGATTTCTTTGAAATGTAATAAAACAGAAAATGCTGATAAGTATAAACAAAGTAGCTGTTGTTAACTGTTGATATATTGTTTGTTTCTTTTCTTCTGCTTTTTTTTTTTGGGGGGGGGGGGGGGAGGAATTCAGTCGATTCACAATGCAGTGCGTCACCAAGAGTATGCCATGGAGAGTCCATTTTTCAAGTTTACTGTCAACAAAACATGACCCATTTGAATGAGTGTCTGTAGACAACTTGAGCTAATTTGTCATAGATTGGGGCATAGCGTTCTGCCACCTTATAAAAAAACCACCATATTGATAACAAGAAAAGAAAAGAACAAACATATACTCGAATCATACCCTTACGAAACTACTGGCCGGAAAAACTAACAATTTCAAATGTCCCGCGCTGTGAATTTGTCAACCATCTCCCACAATGCACTGGGAAAAATGTCTATCCGTGGCAAACTCTTGGTGGCGCACTGCATTGTGACTCGCCCGAATTGAGTCTCAATTCAAGCGTCTTCAATTGCAAGCATTTTCTTCCATTTGAGCCATGTATCTACTGGGCAAATAAGCAAAAGAAAAATTGTTGGTACTAACTGAACTCTGCCCAGACCTGCGGTAGCTACTGACCAGAAAATCTTAATTTTCAAACAATTAATGCAGGCTTTCAAGCGAACCCAGGTGAATAAGTACAAGAACAGTAGGATTAGGACTTTGAAGAACAACATCAGGATAAAAGTAGGGCTTCTGCGGCCTTCCAGGAGTAGTTTTCGTTGATGCTCACCCACGTCCACGGCATCATAAGCCTCGTTTGGCATGTTCTGTACTCACAATGAAGATATATGCCTTTGACACTCCTACAATGCACAAACATTGTGACGGTGGCAAATTTACGCGCCTTTTTTTTTTTTTGAATACCAAAAATACAATAAAAAGAAGACTACCAACTGTGCATCACCAAATTTTTCGAAAATATGAAAATGAAACAAAATGTAAGCAAAGTCAGTGCATCCGGACATTTTGAATCAGTTGCTGTTATTGACAAAGTGTACAGAATGTTTGCTTTGCTTTAATGCATTATTCCCAGTACTGCCCAAAACGGTGCTGCCTGTTACTCCCTGTACTGCCCATAACCGCCCAAGGACTTTGTGGTTTTACGGATTCACCAGGGAATGAATGCAATGAAGTACAGGGTCCAATTTCATAGCACTGCTAAGCACACAAATTTCTGCTAACACAGCGTCTGTCTATTTCATTGGGACTGTAAGCAGCACACACGCTACCTCAGGGGAAAAATTTGCTTAACTTAGGCGAGCCATCAGATAACAGACCGTTCGGGTACCGGGTCCGGTATGCTAATTTCTTTCACCCCAATCGGTACTAAGCCAGAAGCCACCCGGTCACTGAAGCGTGACGCCCCAATCGGCCCAAACTGGCGACTCAGGGTTTCACAATAGGCAACATAAATTGAAGTCTGGCCATTGTTGGAGGATTATTCGGCCCGCTAGGATTACCAGCGGCAACTTCTATGAAGCTCATCACAGTCATTGTTGCCTACTGGAGGATTAGCGCGTCGCAAATTGGTTCCTTTGTGATGAGCCAGAGCCATGGTGCAGAAGTCTGGTGGAGTTAATCCAGGCCGATCGGTTCCATGCAAGGTCCCAATCCCTTCAACATACTGGGCGGGCTCAACCCCGAACGGTCCGGGGAGGGATTCTAATTTGAGGGCTCGCCTTAGTGACATAACAACAGATATCTCCATGCGCCCTACCCTTAGCACACACACGCCGTGAAATAGTGCTTAAGGATAGCACATTTGTGACCTACTGAGGCAAAATGAGGAATGTCCCCCAAAATCTTGTTTCACGTTATCGACGCCTGAAATCGGATATACTAGAAAAATCAAGACAAAATTGATATTGATTGTTTGGTATTTTTGAGTAGCCAAGGTATCCAAGATTCCAAATTTGCAATTTTTTGGGAGGGAAAAAATACCCACAAAAGTGAACATACAGAAGAACATTTTTCAGTGCCGGTGGTGGCGGAATGCAAGTCTTTTTTGTTTTCGAAATGAGGGTTGCGAAACTTGGCAGGATACAGTTGAAGTTCCTGCGTCATATCTTTGGAATAAATTGAGCTACAGAAATAAATTTGGTGTCATTGGAAAGCCCATGATTTGCGCTTTAACATGATGTACATAACGTGAAAAGTCAAAGGTGGGGGTTATTCCTCATTATGCTATGGCAGGTCACATTTGTCTGCTATGCTAAGCACAACTTTTCTGCTAACTGTTAAGCAGTGCTATGAAATTGGGCCCCCGCCCTAACGGGTAAACTTGTGTAGTTCTATGTCCGTCTGTGAGCAGTTGCTGGTACACCGTACCTTGGCTCGTGTCTCGGTGGATGGGCTGAGGGCTACGGCTGACCGATCTCATTTCTTGGCCTGTTGGCTCAAGTGCCGGGGTGCGTCTGCAAACATGTATTTGAGGCTATAAGCTTCGGCTAGTAGCAGGCTGATGTCTTGGTTGGTCCAGCTGGCTGTTGGTAGGTTTTGAAGCAACAGCATGATACCCTAAACGCAGGAACAAAACAGTTTTTGGATTTATTTTTTAATTTTATCTTGGTAGGCCTAGTTAGTTCTGCACTCAGGGTTCCCAGCACTTTATGAAAACAAAATTCCCTGAGTTTTCTCAAAACCGCCACACTCACTGGTTTGATTGGAATCCTGCTGCTGCACAATTTTAACTTGTTTTTGGATGGGGTTACGATTGAGTATAAGCTTTATGTGGCCTCTCTGGCTCCCATATATTTTGCACTAAATTTAGTCGGTTGTGTAATTTTGTAATTGTGCGTCTGGAAGCCAGACTGAGGGAGCGATGGTCGTGTATCTGGAACCTGTAAATGCTTTTTGATTAGCGCAATATATAAGGGAGCAGACAGCGTCATCTGCAACATTAGCCGACATTTGAAGAAGAAAAAAAGTTGGGGAAAAAAAAACAACCCGCGTCTAGGGCTGAGTCAATTCGAATAATTGAATATTCGACCTTCCAATCGATCGAATATTCGAATATTCGGTTATTTGGCCATTCCAAATTCCCTCAAAAGCAAAAATATGCCATACATGTACATGTAGTCAACGTACGTGCGCACGTCAGCATGCCATGTATGATTTCTTCACAGGTAAGTCAGGTATTTGACAACAATCAGTTGTTCTTCTGTCGTCAGTAATTTAAAGATTAACAATAACCAGAGAAGCTAGAGTGAAGGATTCCTTGTTTGCATGGGGGACGTATTAAGCCGTGAACCCCAAACACGGCGGGTGGCGTCAGCTATTGTGACTCTCCGACCCTTAACTCTCAAACAGGAACCGAGCATATCTATTACTGGAAGCTTCTTGAAGTCTACAAAACGGTGTACTTCCTAGTCACAGTATTGAGGATAAAAAAATCACTTTTATAATAATAACTCGCACTTTTGTCACCAAGAATTGAGGAAATGATTTTATATCATTTTAAATAAACTTATTCTCAACAACCAAAAACTCCAAGAAAAAACCTATATTATAATGTCTTTATTCAATGAAATATGGGTCTTTGAATTGTAAATGCATATTTAAGTTTATGCAAATAATGGGCGTGGGCGCGGCATACACACGCCCCAGCTTGACACGTGCAAAGCAGTATTTCCTTGTTTGCCCACAGGGGATGTATTATAAGCTGTGTACCCAAAACACGAAGGGTGACATTTCAGCAAAAAAAAAAAATTAAAAATCGCCAGCCGAGCTCCGGCGGGCGCATTGTTGGCGGGCTAATTAGGGCACAGGTGCGCTGACCCGGTTCTTTTGTCTGGCTAAGTGCGTGCTCTGGAGATAACTTTCTAACAAATAGGCCACTAAAAGGTTTGGAAATTCCAACTTGCAACATTTTGATACATTTTGTCTAGCTGTGGTTTTCTATGCTGGGAATCAGGGGTACGGTGCGGTGAGTTGACCGCAAAGTCTGTCTGGCGAAATAAAATGAGAGCTCTTTTGAGTTTGAAATCCTCTCTGTTGTCTGCCCTTTTTCTTGCGTTTTGCTCGACTTGGAGGACATAAGCCAGAGGTTCCCGCTATTATTACTGAAAGTATAATTGCTGAACTAGTTTTTGAAGTGTTTATGTATGTTTTATTTGTGCAAATATTGGGTGCAATTAGCAGACTAACCCAGCGAACAAAGCTGACGGACAGCGAACGAAAATGTGTTCGATAAAAGGGTGCTCTGATCAGTTGAGAGAACTAGAATATTTTGTACACGTATTACGGAGGCATTGAGGCGAACATCTAACAGCCATAATAAATTTACCCCTAAAAGTAAACAAGAAATTCTTTAAAAAAATCCCAGAGTCCGTAACGTAAATGAACCAAGGTTTTCAAAACGTTTTAATGTAATGTTGGGGTTCATGACAAGTTTTCTACAACACCGCCACGTGCTGTGGGCAGCATACTGCGTGCAAGGCGATTCCCTATAACCATGTGCATTCGACACGATTGAACAGGCGATGGAAAACTTTGGGGGGAATTGGCTTCGCTGTATCAGTGTAATGTACCGCTTCTTGTGCGACCCTGTGCGAGCAGAACGTCCTCAAAATAAGTACATGAAAACGGAAAATACAAAGGCCCAAACAGAAAAAAGAAATCAAGTTCTTTGCATGAGATTGCAGAGGCCTTCTACATCGATGTTGGCATGCCATTTTCGCGATGTCAATAGCCGATCCAGTAAGCCCCTCCCACTGCGCACGTGGGCAAATTAACACGTGCTCCTCTCCAATGCCACGCTGCATTTTCCTATGCTGCACACATGTACATGTAACACCAACTTGCCAGGATCGCATCGGGGAAAACAGCGGCGGTTTTCTTTTGAAAGTAGGGATTGTAAGTAGGACAACAACAAACAAAAATACGGACAACGGAAACATTACTACTCATGCTAGAAGTTTGATATGAAAAGGTGTCAGGAAGTGTTTTGTGAAGACATGAAAGACAAAATGTCTTGTTTATCTTGTCGGAAGCATCAGCGATTGGTGTTGCAGTCCGGCGTTAAAAAAATGGGTTGGCTTTACTGCAAGCACTCCCAAAGCAGAAGTAATATATGTGTGGCATTATTGCTTGGCATATATACAAGCTACTTTTATGGGGGTTTTTGGCAGCAACTTGAAACTTAACTTTGAGAATACACTTTTGCTGTTAAAAAAACAGTTTTTTCCACCTTTTTATTTCATTGCATATCACCACCGAATATTCTTATTCGAAAATAAATATTTGAATATTCGATTATCGATCGAATAACCGAATATTCGAATATTCGGCACAGCCCTACCCGCGTCGCCGCACCACTTTTGGGGCAAGCTCCATACCAGAAACCGGAGACTTTTTTTTTTTTGGCCTAACATCACATTTTTCGTCCTGCAATCTTCAAATAGACCATGTTGAATACTATGATAATTATTTCCTTCATGGAACATTTGATAGGCGTATTACAGGGACAGGACAAAAAGTGGGCCCGCCATTTATAGAGTGACCGATGTGCATTGCATTACAATGCTTATGTGGAACGTGTAGTGATCTTAGAAGAATGGTTGACCTACAAATGGCTTGTAGTCAGTTCTTGATGCCTGAGCAAGTAAGATAAAAAATAAGCATAGTTCCCCACTCCCACCTTCTACTTTCTGTGGGTGGCTGTCCAATCAAAGGGGCTCCGCGCACAAGTACCCCCCTCAATGGTTAAAAATGGAGAGTTTAGTGAGACCACTAGGAGAGACATTCGAACGCATTGCTCATACTACTGGATGCTGGCGCAAAGACACTACGGGTCTGTAAACCTTCAGAACTAGAAAGCAATCGGAGAGCGCACACCGCCGAGGCTGAACAAAATCTAATCGATTTGTTCTTGTACCAAGGACGACCCCTCTACATATATATGGTTGTGTTGGTCTACCTTTCCACTCCCCCATTGTATAAAATGGTCTAGTTCATTGACCTGTGTGGTTAGTTTAGTTGGGTGATAAGGCATACAGGATCACCAGGTCAGTGCCACACACACGAAGCTGTCACACAGAGCGATCTGGTGTCAGTTTTCCATATGATGGGTAAAAAATCCTTTGAAAAAATCCTGCATCCCGACGCACATCCGGATCACTTCCAAAATCTAAACGATTTGTACTTGTACCAAGGACCACCCTTTAAATTTTATTTTATGAAAATCTGTCGAGAACTTTTTGAGTTATCCTGTTCCTAGACAAACACACTAAACAAACAAACCAACGCCGGTGTAAACATAACCTCCTTGGTGGAGGTAGTATAATAAAGCCCGTTTCGTACTTCACGCGAAAACGAAAGCGAAGCGAAATTCGTGACGTCAACAATACGTTTGAAGCGCGTCCACCATTGTTGACGACATGAATTTTGCTTCAAATTTGCTTTCGCGTGAAGTATGAACCGGGCTTTAGTCGTTCGTTTTTTGCACAATACGCACACAAACCAGTACCAACACGCGGTGTGTTCCTCCCAAAGGGGCTCACCAAAGTGGTTACAAAGCCCCAGCTACTAATCCTGCACAGAGTCCACAGGCCACAACCTTCACTGTAAGCTGAGAGACTATAGACTGCACAACATACCTGGAAGTCTTTCTCTTTCATGGCGGCGTCAGCAAACTTGATAAGGAAGGCAGCACAGACGTAGAGATGGAACACGGCAAAACCCTCAGGCTCGCTCTGAAAAGGAAAACAAGAAATACCAACGATGATGATTAATTGTCGAAGATTGTCTCTATATTTCCTTAACCCTAACCTCACCTAAAGCTACAAATACTACTAGGAGTAAACTTTAGTATGGAGTACCTCATCATAGAAGTGGACACAGCACTCATAGTATTTTCTGGTATTTGCTACCTGCATACATAATTTCTGTAGTACTTTGCAGTGTGTGGTTCTTTACTCCAAATTAATTCTTAGGGGGTAAGGGTTAATAATGACAGTTCTTTCATTTAACCCTCCTGCTGTTTGAACAGTTACAGCACTGATCCCCTGCCATGCATTTATACACAAGCTAGTCAACACCAATCAGATCATCTTTCTTGTAGACATTGTGACAATCACATTTTAACAACAGACAAAAGCAAGTAACTGGTAGGCACAGCTGGCTTATCAATCTCGCACGGTCAAAACAAAGCTGTATCAAGTTGCATAACAGTCACAGCCAGTCAATCCTGCTTTGTGCAGGCAGAGGGGACTCAGATAAGAATTGGAATGGGCCCTTAGGGTTGTGGAAATCGCAAAGCGGGTCTCAGTAGGGTTAAAGAAAAAAAGGCATGAAGGCAAATCATGAACTCACGCAAAATGTATACTTCCAACAAAATGTAAATTCTGAGGGAACTAGCAACTTCAAAAGCATGCATGTACATGTATATTAGGAAGTAGTGAATTTCAAGAAAGCAAATTTAAGAAAGAATTTAAAAAAAAAGTTAAGCCCAATGTATACTTCCAACAGACTGTGAATTCGTAGGAAACTACCAATTTCACATTTTGTAAAGGCTGAAAACACATTTACACTTTGCTGAAAAATGATTCACAGCAGCCCTTTTGCTTACACGTATTGGGCATGTGTCACACAGAGTTCAGCTGCTCACCTAGTCTTGGGCCAAGACAGGACTATTTTTCTGTTCCCCTGATGCAGTCGGCCCTATCCTCAGTTAGGGGAACAAAATCTAAGTCCAGTCTGGGAACAAGACTAATGCTCACCATGTACGTGTCCCAGAGGCGTATTGTTCCTTTCAACGGCAGTTCCCTCATCAGCAAGTTGTTCATCCATCGGAAGGCAAACTGAAGATACTCTACTTGGTGGCTGAGTAGATGGTGGTGTAGGGGAGCTGTGGTAAAGGTATGCAAACGCATTACAGGGCGAGTAAAAAAAAAAGGCAACCAAATGTCGCCCCCTATTCTTTTTTTTTAAGTTCTGCATGTAGCACTTTACAGATCTCGGATGTGAAAGCCCTATTAATAAGCTTTCTTTTAGTACAAGAATCATTCATATCGCATATATACTTTTCGAATTATGGACTTCTAAACACAAATACAGTTTCAAAATTGTGGCCACGAATCACAATAAAGGTAAGTGATATTTCAGCAAAACGAAAACCATTCGCGTATAAATAACACATCAGAAACACTCTCATAACAATGATAACTGGATAAAATACTTATCACAACCTTTATTTAAACACACATTGCTTCCAATGTTAGAACAACATGCTTTATAATGTCAAGAGTTAAAAGTCCTGCCCTGCCTTCTACTTTGGCTACCCTGGAGACTTATGGGATTATTCTGATATCATTTTCATGACACGAATGGCCACATTTTACTGAAAATCCCATATCTTAAATGTGATGCCGTGGACAAAACTAAAAAAAAATGTCTTTGTGTTCAAAATTCTCCAACAAGTTAGGTTTTGAAAGATGCTTCTTTTGATTTTGAGTGGTGTTATTATTGGAAACGAACGTAATGCATGAAAAGCAAATGATCCTAATACGCCTTTAACCCCTGACTACGCTTCCTACCGTTGACTCTTTGCACGAGTTCTTTGAGTGAGTTGATTTTGGCCTGAATGCCCGGCTGGGCAAAGGTGTAGTTGTCCTGGATGCCGTCCAGCAGCTTGCTCATGCACCAGAACGTGTCTGCTTCCACCTTGCGTATCTTGTCTGTCGGTAACGTCGTGATGTCCAAGTTATCTGTAACATCTACATTTTCAGCTGGGAAAAAAATTATGTAAAATAACAACATGTTATACATTTTTGACTGTAAGTTTCCACACTGGTTGTTTTTCTAGACTAATGTGGCCCTGGCGTGATTCCTTCCAGCAATGGCCGAGTAGAATTTTAACCGTAACACCCTAGGCCTTTTTGCTAGGATGTAGCCTCAATCCTGCAAAATTCTCCAATTGGCCTTATGGAAAAATAGCAATAGCATCAATCCTGCAAATTCCTCCATTATCTCTTGAATATGGTCCGTGGAGGAGTGACCACTGCCTGAATCCTGCAAAATCCTGTGGCAGTGACTGTCAATATGTTGAGGCTTGGCCAGTGACACCCTGGAGCAGTACGGAGGATTTCAAGCATAATCCAGGCCTGTATTTATGCATGGCTGAGCAAAAACAACACAAGGTCCGGCACAAGACCTTGACAAAGTGCATCCTACGAAATCAGTAACGCACTTTTGCCATATGTAACCTCAATCCTCCAAATTCCTCCACTTTGGCAAAGAGGATTTTGAAGGATTCAGGGCGGTTAGATTTAAAGAAACGGTTTTAAAAGTAGTTATAGACTACTCCGGCGACTGTTTTTTTGTGAAGTGGCACCAGGCTAGCGTGAGTCGCGCTCAGATAATACGCACACACTGCGGACTCCTTCAACCAATAGGATTACCAAAATGCGAGTGCACTTCGTTTTGAAGAACGCATGCAGCGTTCCCGTGAGCGTGGTACCACCGCAATAACGGCTTCTAATTCTGGTCGCCAGATTCCATTATACGTTTTTAGACAGCCGTCAGTAATCAACCATTCGATTAACTAGGGCTGTGCATCGGAACCGGGTACCTGCGTACCCGACCGTTAGAGTCAGGAACCAGTTCTAGATTATGGGATCGGGTACCTGTAACCAACTTTATAAAGTACTTACATGTAGTTTCTTCTCAGACAATGACAAAGAAAGGTTTTGAAGTCATTTGTGGGGAATTTTCAAAATGAAAACCAGGCCACATGGGAAAACAAAACATATTTCACATTTATGACGCTCGCCAAAAATGCAGTTTACACCGTAAAGCTACATAAAGCTAACTGTACTTGTATCTTGTTGTGTTGATGCGCCGATGCGGTAGTACATGTAGTATCGTGCAGACCTTTGTAAACAATCTCAACAGTAACTTCCGAGATTTGAATTTTGGCATGTTTGGTGTTGGGTTTCTTTAACGGGTACCCACGTACACATGTTTTTTATTCAATCGGATACCAGGTTCCTGTGCTACTCGTAAATGCACACCCCTACGATTAACCCTAGCCCCTCTTAGGAATTTTGGCTAAAAAGCCTGCTAAACACAGCAACATGCAGCACTTGTCAAAATGACAAGCCTGCCCAGTGCACATGTAGCAAGATCCATCAGCTCAAAAGTCTCAAGGCCAAACTGCCTCAGAGTTTGTGGTCATCGAATGCAGCAGGATACAACTGTGGCATTGCTCAATGGCATTAGCTCTCATTATTACAAAATTAGCAGTTTATGCACTGGTGTTGATGGCTCAATGCAGCAAGGTCCCACAGACTTTTTACACATGATGCACTGTGCTGCGTCTGGCCAGGTTAGGGTTAATCAACACTGTCACTACAAAATGATCATTTAATCAATCAAGAAATTACATATTAAAATCCGGCTCCGACAACAGCCTGTCAGGGCACTGTGACACTGATAAGGCCAAAAAAAAAAGAGTCCGGTTTCTGGTATGCACGCGCGTCGCCGTTGCCATGCGCGTCGGCAAAATGAAAAAGTTTTTTTTTCAATGAAAGATGATGTCTCAAAACCGCCAAACTCACTGGTTTGACTGGAATCCTGCTGCTGAACAATTTTAACGTGTTTTTAGATTGGGTTATGGTCGAGAATAAGCTTTATATGGCCTCTCTGGACTCCCATATATTTGCACTAAGTTTAGTCGGGCACCATTGGCAGTCATCAGCCGACATTTGAAGCAAAAAAATCAGGTAAAAAAAAAAAAAGTCGCGTCACCGCACCACTTTTTGGGCAAGCTCCATACCAGAAATCGGAGACATTTTTTTTTGGCCTAAAAAACAACTAAATGTGCATTTAAGAATTACCTGTATGTTCGGTAAGGAATACTACAAAGAAGGGAGTAACTAGATCGTTGATGCCTTGGACATAACCACTGGCTGGATGCCGGATCGCCCAGATGTACAATATTCGTTCAAAAATCTGTAAAACAGAATATAATCAATATCAGTTGGGCAAAGCACATTTCAATTGGAAATGTCAACGGGGACTTTAACTATTACATATCTGGATTACAAAATTAAACGCAGGAATTAACTAATAAATTGTGGATAGCAAATTTAAATGAGGTGAAACTCAATTAACCCTAACTCCCTAGGCCTTTTCGCTAGGATGTAGCCTCAATCCTGCAAAATCCTCCAATTGGCCTCATGGAAAAATAGCATATAGCCTCAATCCTGCAAATTCCTCCGTTGTTTCTTAAATATGGTCCATGGAGGGGTGACCACTGCCTGAATCCTGCAAAATCCTCCGGCTATGACCGTCAATAGGCTGAGGCAGAGGCAGTGACATCCTGGAGCAGTGCGGAGGATGTCAAGTATAATCAAGGACTAAATTTATGCACGGCTGAGCATAAACAACACAAGGTCTGGCCCAAGACCTTGACACAGTGCATACTCCGAAATCAGCAACGCACTTTGGCTATGTAACCTCAATCCTGCAAATTCCCCCAATTTGCAAAAAGGATTTTGGAGGATTCAGGGCGGTTAGGGTTAAAGGCAACACCTCTTTATAAATTGACTATCAAAATTATTTCCGGGATATAAACAACAAACTCTAGAGTTTAGGGTTTTCAGCAAAACTCAAGCAAGTTTGAATCCTCCAAAATGGCAAAGTCATAGTGGTGCTATCTTCCTCTGTCCTGCAAAAAATCCTGAACGGATTCTGTTAGATTTTAAAGGGATGTTTTGAGGGTAAGAAGGGTCATTCCTTGTCGATTCATTACAATTTTGACCAAACCCTCACATATTTAGGATATTTGGTGTGATGATTGGCCTATATGAGAATCTCCCACAACTATTTTTTTTGGTGTAAAAATTCATTACTAAGAAAATTTTAGAGCGTCTATCACAAAATTTTCTCAGATTGATGCTTACATCATAAACTAACAAGTGAAAAAAAAAAATTACGACATTTGATTACTTAATTTTGTAATTCACTGTCAAAAGGCATTTCGTAATGCACTAGCGCTGTACTTCATGCTGCGATTTTTGGTTTTATTTTATGCATTGGAGGCCATTCAAGAGCTTTTAAAATGACATAAAAGTTGGCTTTGTAGGGGCTTTACTTTTGGAGATAGAAGTATTTAAAGTTCGGAGGTCACGCTAATCAGTCAAAATGTGTTGACCCGTATCTCAAATACTACTGAGCCACATTACCACAAAACAAACAAAAAATCGGTTCTGGGGGTTTCTCACATCCCTAACCTAGTCTAGAGGCTAGACGTTGTTATTGTCTGTACGCGATAACCTGCCGCGCCGCCGTGATAACCGGCCGCCGCACGAGGGCGCTATCACGACCAACCAATATCGCTCGCAAACCCGTCAGAACAACGTCTAGATCACTTGCTATTGGTTGTGTAATGCGCGCACCGGTTTGGCCTAATATATGCAGCACGCAATTTAAAAAATTCATAGTAGTTCCGAAGCAAACTCTCAAATTTCATTCGGTAGGTTAAAAGCTGCAGCAAGAATTTTGTCCGATTTTACTGGTCAGCTCTTTTGTTGTGTGTAGTATGTGTGGAACTGAAAATGGACCGTAATTGCCTGCAGAAGTCGCGCATGCGCAATAATTTCCCCCATTTTTCAGGGGGAGATTTTAGCAAGTGATCTAGATGTTGTTCTGATGGGTTCGCGGGCGATATTGGTAATCGCTATTGGCCGGTTATCGCGGCGGCGCGGCGGGCTATCGCGTACAAACAATAACAACGTCTAGCCTCTAGACTATCCCTTACCCTGCTAACGCAACAGAATGCAACAGCGGTAAAAAGTTGTTGCAAGTTGTTGCATTTAGCAGCCAGCTCCAGTCCCCATGCTTTGTTGCATCTTGTTGCATTTAGCAGGGTAACTGCTCATAGTGCCAAGGCGGTACAAGAGTATCCACTGTTGCAGTTTGTTGCATTTAGCAGGGTAACTGCTTGGTGCCAAGGCTGGTATGCATTGGGTTCACTGCACAATGCAACAGAATCAACTGTTGCAATTTGTTGCAATTTAGCAGGGCACTCATTTGGGTTGAGTTCAAGAATACCCGAAGGGGTTAGGTTTGAAGGCCAATCATCACACCAAATATCGTTTCAATCTGTGAGGGTTGGGTGACAAATCATGTTGTATTGACACGGAATGGCCCAGAGTTATAATAAAATCACAACAGCTCACCTCTTGAACTTTTGGTTGTTGAAACAGTGGTACTAGGGGGTTGGTTCTAGGGATGTCTATGTGAATCTGTAAACAGGAGTAAACAAATGACATCATTTTCTATTTATAGAAATCTGGACATAAACATGTTGTAGAATTCTTGCACATAACTACACAAAAGATAAAGTCTGAACAATACATGCATAGAATGGACAGCCCGAAGGTTCATGTACCTGTACATCCGGAAAATATATGGACGTAGGTTAAGTGATTTAGAAACAATACAGTGTTTTGAATTATGAGGAAAAAAAATTGTATGGAAGCTAACATATTTTATATCTTCAGTACTACAAGCATCACAACAACAAATATGGTGTCAAATTAAAGGGGACATCAAGATCTTTCATTTGAGTGGTATACCAGTGGGATGAAATGTAGCTAAGTACTGGTATGTTTTTTTTGGTGGAAAAAAAACAAACCCTTTTTGGGGGGCTAAAATCATGGATTTTGGGTAGTCATTTTGCCACCTTGTGTTAACACACGAGTGTAATTGTGAGGTTTTTGTTTTTGAATCAGAGAGAATGGTTTAAATTCTATGCCAAAAGATTTATTTATTGTTTTTATTGATTATTACCTTCTTAAATGTTTAAACTTGTACGAGAAATGGGCGGAAAATCTGTAACGTAAGTTACCGTAACGAAAGTTACCACCATTTTACAGCATGTGGCCAAAATCAGAAATGAGATTTCCTGTATTACCCTACTAATAAATAATTTAGTTACATTGTACCAGCAAATATATGGCATATATTTCTTTTATCAATGCATTGTCCAGTATAAGGAGATTTTTGAATCAAGACCTCCAAGAAATAAATGCATGTCCTTTTCATGAAACAAAAGTTACCAAAGTTTAAACTGTTGCCCCCCCCCAAAAACACAAGTTGTCCACTTCGTATTCATGAATGTGTTCAAACAGACTATGTTACAGTGTTCAAATAAAAAAAACTTCTGACCTTTGAAACCACTGCATTAAGTTGTGAGACTCTTTTGTGCGTGTCACAGTGCCTAAAAATGTAACGAAAGTTACCGTGGAATTGCCCGAAAGTAAACAGGTAAAATAGGGCTCAAAGTCAACATGGATAAAAATGAAGCTACTGTAGAAAAGAAAAAATAGAACTGACCTGCCTAAACATATCTTTGTGTAATGAATCAGTCCTCGTGCCGTAGTACTGATCTACAAAACCAAAATATTCCTCTTGTTTCCGCTCTAATGTAAGTTCCCGTCGGTCCGTGTTGGCCGGTAAATAACCCTGGTGGGAACAATGAAAGTAAGGAATCATTTGATGGACAACTATGAGTATAAATAATTTCTGGTAATGAAACCAAGGAGTCCTCAAAAGTGCCTTAGGCACTGTAGCTCACAAGCCTGAAGAAACCTGTGGAGAGAAGACAACGAGAAGAAGTTACAGTTTTAGAGGTGGGAGGAAAAGCCCAGAGTATATTCTGGGGAAAACCCATGGAATCAGGTAGGGACTGAAAACCCAATCCACATATTGGCCCAGGCAGGATTCGAACCTGGGTCACAGCGGTGGAAGGCAAGGAAAGTACCGCTACGCCAACCTGACTCCTCATCTGTGGCACTAGCTCGCAAGCCTGAAGAAACATGTGAGAAGACAATGAGAAGAAGTTACAGTTTTAGAGGTGGGAGGAAAAGCCCAGAAGAATATTCTGGGGGAAACCCACGGAATCAGGTAGGGACTGAAATCCCCAAGTAATGTTTCCATTTGCACCCAAAACTAGGATGAGGTTTAATGGAATTGCTGGAATGTTAGATTTTGTTTTGTGACCACTTCATAAAAAAGATTCATAATTAAAAAACAACAAAAGTAAGAGTTTACCAATAGAAGTTTCCAGGCTGTTGGACGGACCGCCCCTGAAATTCCTGACCAGCTAAGCTTTCTAAGGTCATCTGGAAATCAATCAATAAAAAAAAACAAAGTTGGGAAAAAGCTTTTATGGATAAACAGTCAGAAAACGTTTTGCTGGAACTTTCAATTTTTACAGTAACTGACCTTACTACAGCGTGTCCCAATAAACATTGTGCATGAAGAAATCGCTGATTTTCTCAAAAGTTGGTCAAACTAGCTAATCAAATTTTAAAGCATTTTCAAGCCTATGGTCTTGTTTACAATTGGTGAAAAAAATCAAGAAAATCCAACTATGCAAATATCTTTGACTTGGTAAGGCTATGTATTTTTCGACCTGCACAATGTAATTTCCACACTTAGTATTTGCTTTTATACAACAATTATTGGGTTATTGGTATGTGTTACGCAGTGCTTGAAATATTGCATGGCCTTCATGTTGCAATTGGATAAGAGTGTTCACAGATAACATTTTGGGTAGATAACATTATGTAATCAAATCTAATACATTTTCCAATGCCTAATATCTGGTGTTTAGTCTTTGAAAAAAAAAGAGCTGAAATCAGCTTTAAAGCTGAGATTTCACACCCCTGTACTTATGCATGGCTGAGCAAAAACAACACAAGGTCCGGCCCAAGACCTTGGAAAAGTGCATCCTATGAAATCAGTAATGCACTTTTGCCATGTAACCTCAATCCTCCAAATTCCTCCACTTTAGCAAAGAGGATTTTGAAGGATTCAGGGCTGTTAGGGTTAATGGGGTTAAAAAAAAGTTGGGTAGAATTTATAGAGCTGCTCTGCATTCTGTAAATATCAATTTCTTTACAAATGCCACACTTACCTAGTTCTGTATTAAGGCCACTCAGTAGCTGCTTAAACTTGGCCAGTTTGCCGACTTCCCTGTCGGGCATGGGCATGGGGCTGGTTCGGATGGGGGAGGAAGGAACAGGAGGCTCCAGGTCCGAGTTCTGCCTAACTGCGAGGCCTGGAACGCCGGACCGCAATGAGGGGGAGGGTGGAGGGGTTTCCTGAGGATCTGAAAGAGAGAACATGGAGAAGATGCAGCTCAAAATAAAGGCAAAGAATTAGCTCCTTGCTTCCTGACAAAAAAAATGAACAACATTCTTCATTTTCGTCATTATGAACTAGATTATCCCTAACTCCCTACTGTCTTTTACTAAGTACTGGACCAAGTCCACCAAAATCCATCAATCATACTGCTTCCAATGCAGGCTTTGCTTTAGGCCTCCAGGCTTAAGTCCATCATACATGTACTCCATCAATGTTTAGTCAAACCAGGCCTGCAGGACCAAGTCCCCCAAAATCCACCAAAATGGGAGGATTGATTTTGATGGAGTTGGGGAGGTTGGGGTTAAAGGGGCACTAGGTCCTGAAATCCCCGAAAATTTTATGTTGTGAACTGTTTACTTATCCTATTTCAAACATCTGGTTGAAAGGAAACTAACCTAATGTCTTACCGTTCCCGAGAAAAAGACGAAAAAAAACCTGCTTGTTTACATCGGACACGACGGAGTACAAATACGTTTTTCGTGTCGTTCTCAGTGTACCATATACACGTTGTGTGTCTCAGGAACAGCGGTGACCAATCACCAATGCAAAAAAAGTGGTTTCTTCAACGTCTGCAAAAAGTGAATTCTTTACGAATGAAATCACAACTAGCATCCAAACAGCTCGAATTTATGGGGTCGCAAAAGTGGACCCCGAAATTCGTTCTCACACGTATAATACAGGAATAACAGAAAAACGCCCAGTTTTGAAAGGATAGTTGTGTGGATGTTTATATCCTACTTCTAAATGTTATTTCCGATTAACACCATCTTGTTCAAAGCGCGTTTTGTAGCCCAATTGGGCTGTTCCAGGACAGTGTCCCTTTAATGTATGTACCTACATGTACAATGTACAAAATGTAAGTATTTATTTTCTTGTGTGCCAGGGTAAGTCATCCCTGTATGGGCTCCTGAGTTGTAACATTGCCACTAGGAGTTGTAACATTTTAACGTGTCACCACGTCAAGGTATTGAAAACATGCAATACAAGAAAATAGACTGGCACCGGAAATAACCAGTCCAACAAACCTTCAGTGCTGCGTCATTCAACTGTGCCAAAAGAAACATCTGGCATGTCTGGTACTAGTCTCCATTTCTACACTTTTCTCCATTGTCAGCCACCAGACTAATGGCAGTGAATGAGTGGGTCAGTCTTTTCAAACAGTTGGACCATGGTTGGACATGTACCAGTCTAGTCTTTAGCCTCATTTAAAAAAAAATGACTTGAGTTTTCAAACTTGGCCGGTGAAAAACAGAGGACCTTTTCTTTGCCCAATGAAAGTGTGTCTCACCCCCGCCCCACCCCCCCCCCCCTCCCAATGGGTCATTCGTAGACTTATGATAACAACCCCATTGTGGTCGTTAACCGGTTCGTTAGTGTGACGTCATCTCAACTTAACAATGAGTTCTTCACACGGTGTAGCATAGCACAAATGGAACCGGAAGTTAACGGAACTCAAGCGTTTATCCAATGGGTGCTAGTTACCAGTGGTGCGTGCGCGTGTATGCCGTTTTTACTAAAGAACCGGATACTGGCAGTGAAGGTTTACACAAAAATAATTTTGGCCCTTAGCCTGACCGAAGAGCAATCTGTTTTACCTTCTCTCCGTTCTGACACATCTCTGCTGGGCGACCCCAACTCAGTGTCTTCGGACCTGATTCTGGCCTCCAGCATCTGCGCCTGCTGAGCGGCCCTCTCGGCCTGCTCACTCCTCTGCTTCTCCAGGGACAGCTGTCTGGCTTTCAGCATCAACAGTTCCTCGTCGTTTACTTCCCAGGCGTCACTGGTCTTGCTGTCAAAGGCGGCGAAAGCATCCTTTTGTTTGGGGCGGGGTTTGACCCCAGTCTGGTCCCTCATTTGTGTCTGGTTCAGAATTTCACTGGGTGGATACTTGGCACTGTACACAGGTTTAATGCTGCAGTTGACAGAACAAAACAGAGGTTTTGATTATGATCACAACTACATGTAGGCCTAGCCCCACTAGTGTGGCCCGAATATTGCTGCGCTGTATCCTTCCGTATACACACTGAGACTGAGAGACGGTTTCAAGATAACAGGCGGTCAAAATTGTAGGGGGCCTACTGCCTTTTGAAAGTATTGGATGTATTCTACGACCTCCCAGCCTTTGCTGCTCCGGGCTATAAATTATGTAATCTTACCTCCGATTCTTCGAGAAATCCAAATGAATGCAAAGTTCTGAATTAATTCTTTGGATGATACATGTACAACTAGGAGTCAGTATTCCTCTTTATGTCAGGACACTTGTTTTATTTTTAGAGCCATGCTGATACTTGTTAATATTATTAGCACTGATTGAAAATGACTTATTTTGCATGGGTTGCTGACTGAGTGAGATACACAGCCCAAAACCATTGGATTCCCTCAACCATTTTTGTGGCGATCGTGTACTGTAGGGCCCGGTTTAAGGGAACAAAATCCACTTTAAAATTATTAGACCAACCAAACTAGTTGGTGACATTCTCAATAAACAGGTATGTCATAGATAGAGGGCAGGGTTTTTATTTTTGGAAGGAAATTTGGGGGTAAAATGACGATGACAGCATGGCGACAACACGCGACCCAAAAATAAAGATGGCGATCACCGTGCGATGAACCGTAGCATGCACGGCGCGCCAAATTAATCACAAGGCACAAACCGCGCAGGAGAATCGCGATTTCTACCCCAAGAAACTGTTCAAAATTGCAAAACGGGTGAATTAGAATTGAGAAAAGTTTGCTTTTGATTGTAAAGGTGATTATTGATCAATAAAAAACATTTTTTGACTCTAAATCTAATTTGATCAAAACAAAACAGGGGCCCTACACTACACGATCGCCATTTTTGTAAACATTGTGTAATGTTTTGGTTTCGTAAAACTTAAAAGAAAAGACCAAAAGTAGGCAAAACTGAAAACAATAAAATAGTGAGCACATAATGTGCCTAGTATCAGTATCAACTATCAAGTATCATTGTGTCAATGCACCCCCCGCCCCCCCCCCCCCCCCCCCCTCCCCCTCCGCCTTGTACTCAGGTTTACGCCCGCACGCACTGTTTAAATACCATGTTTACCTTCCGGGCAGGCGCTCCGAGTTTTTCTTCCAGTGCGTGGCTTTTTTCCCCGTCCCTTTACTGCCAAATCCCGAACTTACGCCCGTTGGAACTCGCACGTTTTCATTGGCAGATGCCATTGCGTCAAATTGGCCAATTTATACGGCAAGAATAGGGCACGGAGGAGGAAGGAACGCGTCGGAAATTGTTCAGCAATCAAGTGAAACACGGAAATGTACACACACTACACGGCTGCCATATTGGAAGTGTTGACGTCAACATTTCAATGAAACATTTCCCTCCTTTTTTTACGAATGGAAGATCTCAAGCGCTGGTCCCTTACGAAAAGACGCATACAAAAAGCCACAGTCATCTTAAAAAGTACCAGTATAACCCTTTAAGCTTCTAATAAAATGTTCCTAAAATTCTTGATGTGGTGGCCTCTAAAGGCCACAACATTCCACCATGCCTGCAAAATGTGTTATTCAAGTACATCTATCATGATAATTTAACGACACCGGGTTTTTTGTTTTTGTAATGACTGCCGCAAGTCAAACTAATGATATCACTTTTTAGAATAATTCTAAAATGTTTCATTGAAATATTTGCTAAAAGAGTGGCAATATATAGATTCGATGAGTAGAGCGTCATATCGCCAAAAAAATCAGTCGCTCCGGCCCCCCGACTGGAAAATAAATAATCCTTAATTTTAGTCGAAAACCTTTTCTTTTTTCTCGATTTGCAGGTGATTTGAATGTCCCGTGGAACGCGTATAACGATACATATTGTCCGACAATGACTGTTCGGTTTTCAACAGCGCCCCTAAATATGGTTACTCTAAGAGTCAGTTTATAATTATAAAAAAAGAGGCTTGTTAGGCCAAAAAAAAAAATAAGTCGGTCTCTGGTCAGCGCGCGCGTCGATTTTAATCATGCGCGTCGATCTTTTTTTTTCTCCAAAATGTTCCGCGGTAGCTCCAACAGCGCCCTCTATTTCTGCACCTCCTCAATTTTTTTTACCAAAGAGCACCAAGGAATGGGAAATTGCACCAAGGCAAATGATCGAAAGCACCAAGGCAAATTATGGAGGACACCAATGTACTTGAGGACACCAAAAAAGCAAAATAGTACCTACCTTGTCTGTACAATCCAAGCTTGAAGAAAGAAAAAAAAAAGGAAAAAAAAAGCCGCGTGGCCGCGTCAATTCTGGAACTTTGGTCTGACCAGAGACCGAATATTTTTTTTTTGGCCTTATGTTCCAGGTACGAAGCTGAGTTAATTATTCGCGAAATCTGTTTCTGTAGTTTAAGTATTCTGTTGATTTGTCCGACAGCAGAATTACCCCATGCTAAGATCCCATATGTTAAGTAAGGTAAAATTGGTATTGTAAAGTTTAAATGATTTATCATGAGGAAAAAACCTTCAGTTTACATATGACACCTAGTGGAAATATTATGCGCTTGTATGATTATTATTTTTTTTCATTTTTTCCATGAAAGACTCTCATCGATATACAAACCTAAACATTTCACACAATCAGTTTTTATGATGAGTATGTCGTCGATAAAGATTTCAGACAACGAACACCTTGACCAAGGCTAGTAGTTGGTATTTTGTTTAAAGTTAGAGAGGGGGTGGGAGCTGACGACGACACGTGACTTTTAACGGCACCACCCTTTCCGATCGTCAGGTATATGGGAATATTGACCTTTCGCGGTAGAATCGCGTTAGAATCGCGTCAACGCTTGTGAAATATTGTCCAATTACATAATATACAAATGGACGTGGAACGCGCGAAATCTGAGACAAACAAAACTTAGCGTACACAAACTTTGTAGGGCCGTGGCTTAGTATCGCGGTAGAAATATTGTCCGATTTCATGATCATATACAAATGGAACTTGCGCGCAAAATCTGAGACAAACAAAACTCAACGTACAAAAGTTCCTCAGGGTTGTCTAAGGGGAATGGCTAACGGCGAAAGATCAATAATGATGCCCACCCATTAGTAGTCTAAGTATCACCCGTTCAGAGTCGAAAGTCTGACATCTCCTGACATGCAAATTTATGCAAGCCGCGCGGCAGCCAATCGGAGTCGACTTTATTAAATCATGACGTCATTTCATTCCCAAATCAGGACTAATTAACGCGTTGTCCAATGCCAGCCGCAGTTAAGCCACGATGGACTTGGCGAAATGCTATAGGGAGGCCGTTCTCAGAACATCACACTTGGCGTTGGAGGTTCGAACCCCAGGTTGTCACCACTGACGTTTACTCGGTTTTTTTTTCGTGAGAGCGGAGGGGTGAGGGGGGGGGGGGACTGACGACGACACGTGACTTTGACGTCACGACCGGCAGGAAATATAGATACACGTTTTCTGTTTTCTCATAAAATTTGCAAGGGCTCGTTTTGTCTGTATTTTTTTAAATGTAGAATCAACTGAGGCTGAAACCTCAACAAGTACACCCTTCTTGAGATTCTGATCAATGTTGTGTAACGGGAAAAAAACCCACAAAAGCATTACTATTACTACTATTGTTGACAGCTTGCCTTTTTTTGCGACGTCACTTAAAAAAACCAACCATATTTTCGGATTTTTTGGGGGGTGGGGGATGGCCTCCGTTGGCCCCCTGGATCCACCCTTGAGTATAGAGGGAAACTTCACCCATGAGTTGCGTAGCTATGTGGAAGGAAATGAACTACACCTCTCAACCGACTCTTAGTAATAATCCCCGAAACAAAATTAAACTTGGGCCACTTTCTCAAAAATATTACCGTCTCAGTAGCTTATAAGCAAATGCCGCCATTTTGTGAACTAGATCAGTAACAAAAACAATTTCGTTAGGAATGTCCAACGATATCTGCGTTGCTTCAAATTTGTTTGGATATTTATTTGGATATCTTTTTCAACGGAAACGCGATTCTAGAAAGTTGCAAACCAGTTGCCGTACTTTTCCCGAAAATTTTGCTACATTGAAAATTGTCATCTTACATTTAAGGCATTGTATCGTTATTTGATAAAAAAAAAATCAAGGACTTGTCTGAAATTTTCAGTCCAAAAAAAATCTCATGCCAACACGAAATCTCGGAAATTAACGCATAACGCGTCATTTCAGATAAGACCTATTAGAAAACCTGATGACACTACGGTCACCCCCATGCGTTCTTTGCCTAACCAATAGATATCACTTTTGAAAACAGAATCGGCGCGTGACATGTTTATTTAGATAACAATTGACGGACAAGTTTTTTAATGAAATTATAGTGTGTGAAGTATCTAATTTTTATTTCACTATCAACTGACATGTTAGGTGCCACATTAACACAAGACACTGATTAGTACAAAGTCCAATTTCTGTTGCTGATAAACGGGTTGAAGTCCTTTGCAATATTGAACTCGTGCAAGGTTTTATTATACTATTCACTAATAAAAAAAAATATCATAATTTTGTGATGCATGTATTCAGGTTACGTACATGACGTGCTTGCCATTATACTTCACTTTGTCTAAATTTATATTTCATTTTTTCCTGATCCAATCAGTGTTTGCAGAGCTGAATCAACAATATGAAGATAAAAACTAAACGATACATCACTTAAATCAAAATGAAAACAGATACACAATGCATATACAGATTCAATTAAAGCAGAACCCTAACTTCGGCTAGCATGATTTAGGAGCCATACCCATCCTGTCAAATTCCAACACCATGTGGGAAACAGGCTGCACACACTTAATATACATTTCTGACTTTGTTTCTGGAGGTGTGCCCACCTAATGTAAAAGACTGTTAGTTTAGGGGTACTGTTTCTGGAGGTGTGCCCACCCAATGTAAAAGACTGTCAGTTTAGGGGTACTGTGTATACCATCCTGACAAATTCCAACAAAACATGCCATTGGGGCTTGATGGATTGGGTTCTGTTGGTGTTTTTTTTTTAATGTCCGCTTTCATTAAGTTGCTATTTCTAGGACAATCCCCGGCATTATGAATAATGGTATCATATCAAAAAGATGACAAGAAAAAAATCATGTCAATGAGAATGATCCCATATTGAAAATCTATCAGTTTTTGATTATCAATTTTGGGTCCGTACGTATATCTTCAAAAAATAAACGGAATGAGTGCCTTTCGGCACGTGGGATACAGCTCTCTCCCGTCCCGTCCGTCAAATTCCTCCTTGTACCGCCGGTGGTGCTTGGTGGAGTAAAATATCAAAGTTATGACTGTTGCAAGAAGAAATAGGGCTCCATTCAGGGTCCAAGTTGCCAGGAAGAATCCCACCCACGAGATGATTTCACTAGTGTAGTGTGGGCAGGACACCAGGGAGAAGAGCACGCCCCTCGGGATCACGTGGCCACTGGGCGGAGCTTGCTGCCCCTCCCTCTTTCGGTCACCGCCGCGGAGCCTTCTCAGCTGGATGTGGGCGGCGCAGTTCCCGACCTCCCCAGCAATGAAGATGATGGCTCCGGCAACAAAGAGGGCCACGTGGGTGTTGATGTATCCCAGGTCGGGGCGTAAGGCCCACCCCGCCCAGAAACCAAAAGTCCAGTAGTAGACCGGAGCGCCCAGCGTTTCCCCGAGGGGCATTTTTCTCTTGTACCGGTGCACGAACAGGACCTCCGCGGTTCTTCGAATGAAGTGGCCCACGTACAGGACCATCAAGATGACCTGGCCACCGGGCTGCCAGCGACCGAAGCTACCGGAGTTAGCGGTGACCATGCAGCCGATGACCGGGAAGGGTAGCTTGGGTAGGCCCGGAACAAGAGACGCGAGCAGGAAACTCACAATCGTACCGATGTAGAACCCGGAGTTGACGACGACTGCATTGAAACCCTTGGTCGTCTGCGCCGCGGCGCTCGGACGATTGACGTTGATTGGATCGGATTCCCGTCCTTCGTCACTGGATATGGCTGGTTCCGCCATTTTTCTTCTCCTGCTTTGTTTAGGCATGAGATTGACTTCTAGTCCAAAATGATCAGACTTTAGATTGTGAAACAACAGGTGACAATCACAGATAGCAAGACCCGTGGCGCGGCATTGACACTAGCACTTGAGTGACCTTGAAAACAGCTGACCTCAGAGAGGCCTAGCTGTTCAAATTCCAGAGGAATATTCACTAAATTAATTTAGAAATTAATGATTTCGTAATGCAAGAGGGAAAAAACCGAGGTTTAATTATTCTCTCAAATTAAAGGAATATTTCAACGAAAAGAATAGTTGTAGCCATGTGATGTTTTGGAGAACTCATGCATTTTTTAATTTGTATTTTTGATATGTCAGCAAAGAGGCACCGTACATTGACCCTGCACGCCGTAGACACTTTTCAAAGAGCTGCGGAGTACTAAACTTGTTAAGGTCCAATTTTTCCACATTAAACTTATTTCAATATTTTTTTATTGGAAATACACATTGGATGATTTCTAGTGCAAATATCATCATTTTACCCGTGTACAATTTTGAAAAACTAATGGTATTACCGATTATTAAATGTTCTTTTCAGCAAACGGATGAAATATTAATGGACGTGCACAAGTTTATGTTTTTAAAACCAAGGTCAACAAACTATCGATTGAGTTCAACACACTTTGTTCATACGACAATTCAACATCAACACAACCAAAGACTGCACAATTTTTACGGGCACGTACTTGTAAAATATCATCAGTATTTCGTGATTTGATCACGCAGGTCATGTTAAAATCACGCAGTATGTAACTGGCAGCATCGTGCGCGGCAATGGCAGAGGATGTGGTACTATTTTCCGTGTTGAAGTTGGCCGGAAAGCCTTTGGATGTGACCCTCTCGAGCCGGACGATTTCATGGGTTGCCAGCGCCTCATCCACGGCGGAGACCCGCGGTAAGTCTGGTGGTGGTAACCGTATTGTGCGTGATCATCGGTCGGCAAAACAACTGCTGCAGTTGGCGCACGCAGTAAATCGTGGACAAAATGTTGCAATCTGACGCAACTTGTTTCTTCATATATCATCTCAATGAAGATCATTCATTGCAGAAATGACGATAAGACATTAATCATATTTTAGCACACAACCAGAGGGAAGGTCATTTGCATGTTAAAGATAAGATAGGATAGGCCTAGATCATTTGTCATTTGTGCATTTTTTAATTTGAAGCAACAAAAGCGCTCAAAATATAAAGACGAGTGCTTAACAATTGTATTTAACCTGATGAAGTTTACAAACCAACTTCTTGGGGAAATTTCCAAAAATTTCCATCTTTGGAAATGGCTTTCTTTTATTGTTTTCTTCAAAATAACAGCATGCCGGAAAGAATAATTTCAAGGGGAATTTAGTACCATTACTACATGTATCTTCAAACTAAGTAAAGCTTTTTATCAATAATTTGGTGATTTTCTTTTTGATAGCTGCAAAGTGCAAATGATCTACTCTACCTTTAATGTTAATCTTGAATTTAATATGTAAAACTTGTCATACTTGTGTTAACCTGTGCCATCTGTCATTGTCTGTGTATCGATCACCAAACCGTATTTTATTTCTAGCCGATTACGCAGGAATCAGGCAGGGTGCCAGTGTGATGTTGCCTTATATTTACAATTTTTCAAATGAGACAACTGGAACCGGTGAAACAGCAGGTATTTTACCTGGATCACTTTTCTTACGCTGGACATTTCAAGGGATTTCATCGCATTTCTCTCAAGCCAAGCCAAACATGCCAAATCAGGAAGATTTTACTATCATACATGTACATTCTACCTCCACCATAAAAAAAGGTCAGGCAGGGGCGTAAATCCCGGTGGGGATGGGGGTATATATCTTCCCCCCCCCCTCCCCCACTTGTTGACCCCTACAGGGTATTTTTTGGATTTTGGTCATCCCCCGTCCCCCTCACCCAACTCAGCACAGATTTGCGCCTCTGAGCTCAGGAATAGAAAAGTCTGTGAAACCAACTTTTCACTCATGGAAATGCATGGGACAACTTATTTTCAAGACAATTTTTGGTTCTGTGTACAAAAAGGCCTAAATGTATTAACAATCCATACATGTGTAATTTATACATCGCTAATCCATACATCGCTAATTTAACTGAAATATCTTGAACTAAAAAGTTGTGCCATTGTGTTGATGTGGCTCTGATCGAGGAAAGTTGGATGCTTGTCCAGATTTTCTTTTCCTCCATTTCTGACCATTCATGGTGAGAGATATGAAAGTGAAATCTTTCTGCTCAATCTTCTTTCCCGTCTGCTGTCATTTTCTAAAATAATGACCTTTTTTTGGCATTTTGTTCTGGTAGCATTTTGCTTCTTACCTGCTTGCTGCACCTTGATTTTTAAGATAGTTGCCATAACTTATCTTCCTGGGTTTCCTTCTCTGGCTGGCAATTTCAGCTACGCCATCATGGCAGTCAAAATCAATCGATTGGCCATTTTGGACAGTTATTAATTGAAGAAACATTTGATTGTCTGAGAATGATCGAACAATAGGAGGGTTTTAAAGGGCAAACCCCAAACTTGTAGATGTATGGGGTTAGGATTGACACTTAAAAAGTTTGTGTTTGTGAGTAAAGTATTAATTTTTTTTTGCATTTCCCTGTTAAATTGTCATCCATGACATGTACATACATGTACACGTACACGTATGTATGTACCCTAAGTTACCACATGACAATGTATGTATCTTTCCTCTCACATGGTAACATGCATTGTCAGCCTGCTTATTACTTGGGTCAATATTGGTCAAGACCCCCATTGGTTTGTACACAGTAGGCCAGGAGGTGAGGAAGAAAATTTTGACCATTGGTGACCTCTTAAGCAAAGGGAGTGTTTTAATTAATAAACAGTGGGATTGCAACCCCATATTGCTCCTTTAAACTTAAAGCTTTTAGGAGCAAAATAAAAAAAAAGGAAAAAAGTATGCAAAGAGATCTTGAATACTCCTCCTTTTGAAGGTAAAAAAAAATATCCTTCTGGAAATTGATGATTTTTTCCCCCTAAGTTTTGCGTAAATGTACAGCACCAAAGACTGTGAAAATATAGTCTTGAATTTCATTGTTGATTTTCTTCCCTTATTATTTTTTTTCCTAGTAATATATTTTTTTTTATCAGTAAATTATTAGCAGGGAGTTTACATGTATGTCTTCTAGAAATGCTCAACCATGTGGCATTTACATGCTTCTTTTCCTAAAATGTACATTTTATTTCTTTGGTTTATTTAAAGGCTTTGATATTTTGGGGGAAAACGTCCAGTCTTTCCTTCGCATGTTATAACCCCATCTCCTTGAAAGTTGGTGAAGGGGTGTATGGAAACAATACTTTTTTTTTCCAGATATTTTTTATCAGGCCTATATTTCACTGTCAGTTTATATTGATTCTTCTTTTTTATTACCTAAAGGTTACAGGTACATGTACATGTACATGTATTGCCTCTAAGTTCGTTCTCATGGAACAAACAGCACAGTTCAAATGACCTGCATACAGGGTCTACAAATAAACAAAGATAGTGTTCATAATACCAGCATCCATGGAAAAAGAAGATAGCATGTATTTGTATACACATGTACTTTGGACAGTTAAATATGTTACATGTACAATGTAGGTACAGTCGGACGCAACTAGAAATTGTTCTATGGGCTTCATGCGCAGGTACCCCCTCAACGGTAAGAAAGGGAGAGTTGGGGGTGACCACTGGGAGAGCTAGACATTCAAATGCATTGCCCATGTCGCCTAATGCTCATGCGAAGGCTTTACACATTTTAAAACAAAATTTGTTGTGCGTCACATCCTTTTCAGCATACATGTACAATGTATGAACCAGTACACATGGTACGTATGCGTACGCGGTGTGTCCTGTCGTCCGGTGGGTTCCCAAAAGTGGTAGAAAAAGCGCCCTCTCCGGTTTGCGGCTAAACTTTGCGCACGGAGCCCATAATACATGTAGGTCTTTACACACAGGCAATGATTTTTCCATTCATTTCTTGATGGAGCAAGATTTCTTTTGAAAATGCAAATTAAAAAAGTCAAAAAATTAGATCCATTGTCGATTGACTGGGTAAACAGCAGTTGTTTTTTGTATGAAATGCAAAGTCATCTGGCATCAATGCTTCACATTGTTCCATCATTCATTGAATTGTTTCCTGATCAATGATCGTTATCATGCATCTACTTCAGTAGCACTTCAGTGGCAGATTTAAAAACAATGCTGAGCACTCATTTGGGTGGTATTGATTTCAATTACGTGTACACGTTCGTTAACAGAACACTACAAAACTTCAATACATGTTTATAATTAACATGTACAATGTACGTCATTGATTTCTGCAAAGTCTACCTGTATGCGTGTGTATACACGTGTTCATGTACAATGTATTGCAGTGTTTCATCATACAATGCAAAGATCTGCTTTTTACATCAATCTATTTAATATACATGCTCTCTACATTTGACATTTCCATTTTTAATGATTATTGGAAGATCGTACAAATTAAAGTACATGTAGGTACAGAAATAGAGTCAATTCATTTTCCAGAAGGTACTTTAATATGATGTGAACAGCTTCCCCCCGGCCCCCCATTATTTAAAGGTATACATGTTTGTTTTTTGCTTTTGCTGTAATTTTCAGAAATGGATAATTTATAGCAACTATTGTTACTATGACCTGTTTAAAGTTTTGTGGATACATGTATGCAAGTTTCATCAGCTTTGTGCAAGAAGGTCAGATTTAAACGCCATACAAAAAAAAGTACATGTAGTACATACATGTACATGTATTGCAGCCTGAGGTTGGGTTAATACTGCAAATTTCATGCATCAACCATTTTGTAGAATGTGGGGATCGCTGTATAGGCCTACCCAAACAAAGCCGCTTTGCAATAAAATTCAATTGTAGTCATGGTTGTGTGAATTGTCCTTCACCGGGGCCCAATTTCAAAGAGCTGTCTATCAGAAAATATTAGCTTAGCAGATTCGTGCACAATGCAAAACAGAAATCAGCTGGAAACCAGGGCCCAATTTCATAGAGCTACTTAAGCACAAAATTTGCTTAAGCACGAAAAAGCATTTCTTAGTAAAATTAGGTTACCAGCCAAAACTCCATGTACAAATAAGGTGCATTGCTTGTGACTGGTATATAGCTGTTGTTTACTTAACATAATAATCGAGTGGAGTTTTGGCCGGTAACCTGATTTTATTCAGCAAAACTTTTGTGTGCTTAAATAAGCAAATTTTGTGCGTAAGCAGCTCTATGAAAGTGGCCCCTGTTACAAACGATACACAATGCATGGTGTTTTGGACTGGCAACCATTTTTTGCTGAGCAAATATTTACGTAAGGCTATGCATTTTCATATAATTTGGACTTAATCCAATTTTCGAATATTGATTTCAAAATGCAATGATCAAGTTAAACATGCGCAAGCCTCCACTTGCTGCCTTTGGACAAGGGCAGCCTCAACTGGCCTTGTTCCAAAAAAATTGACGAAGAGCTTACTAAAATAATATAAAGAACAGGTGGTCGTGGCTGATATTTGGCCAATTGTATAGAAGTAATTTGAGCTTATATTTAGGTGTTGGGCTTTAGCCCAAAACCTATTGTTTTTGCTAGGGTTTTTAGGTTTTTTTTCTTCTATACACATTCCTTCTCCAGAACTGTGTGTCAAAATGAAAACATATATGAACTTCAATTGTCAATACATGAATGCACAACCTACCGCAGATGTGCTTTTTTGCAATTACGTAATCATGACATCATCACGGATCACATGACGTCACTTCAAAGTTTAATAAATTTAATCTTTGAAATTCCATATAAAATCAACCGTGAGAGACCGGAACCTGCAATTTGCGGGAATCGACATGGTAATACATGATCTTCATTTTATTTTGTGCTCGTAAAATCACGTGACCCTTCCTTCCGGTCGAAACCGGAAGTGCCTAATAATTTGAAAGTGGAAAAAGATATGAACTTGCTTTAAACGATTGAAGTGTCTGCCTGGATTGACCTTTCAAAAAAAATAATGGGTGACGCCATGAAGTGTTGGAGCGCCCTCTAGCGGCAAGTTAAAAAACGTCAAAAACGCATTTTCACTTGATGTCTGTGGCGAAAGTTGCGGTAATCGCTTCAAAGTTAATGTACATGATGACCATAATGCAGGCAACACCTGTGCGCGAAAAAAAATGATTACGTCATCAGACCGGAAGTTACAATAAAAAGACCTTTAAACTTTCAAAAATTGCTAGAAAATATACCGTGATAGATATAATCAAGATTTGGCTGTATATAGCACAGTTCAAATAGCTCTTGAACTTTCTGGTAATGACGTCATAATGACGTCATCAAGTATCGTATTACAAGCAATCAAAGATTTCTAGATTTAATCTTTGAAAATCAATATAAAATCAACTGCTACAGATTTGATTTTGTTTTTTATGGCAATCGATACAATATTGCAGGGTCTTCAGTTTTGGTATTAAGTGCAAAATCATGTGACCCTTCCTTCCGGTCAAAACCGGAAGTGCCTTATTAATTGAAATTGGCAGAAGATGCGAACTTGCTTTCAACGATTCGAGTGTCTGGGCAGTACTGTACAACAATATTACAGGTGACGTCATCAAATGTTAGAGCGCCCTCTGGCGGCATGTTGAAAAGTCAAACATGGATTTAAACATGCATATTTTGAGTTGATGTGTGTGGCAAAGTTTGCGGTAATCCATGGCCCAACACCGTGTGGTTGTTCCTACAACCTCTAGTTGTCATTGATACTTTTAAATCGTAGGTGATAATGGCTTTCAGTTTGACAAGCAATAAATTTTGACTTTTTTCATCGTCTTCTCCAGACTGCTAACATTTTTCGAATATTTGAATTGAAAAAATGCTATTCGGATTTCGGGTTGATTATCGAATATTCGAAAATTCGGTATATATGTAACACAGCCCTAACATTTTTTTTGCTTACAAAATGTACATGAAGCTTTTTTTTCTGCTCATCAACTCTTTAAAATTTGCCGCAGAAATCATCAATTTTTCATTTCTTTTGGATGAATTTTCTTTATTTCCTTTTCTTTTCCTTTCGATAAAATAACAAATTTGATCTTTTTGGATCCATGGCAGAGGTCCATCACTACCACTTTGTAAAGATGAGTAAGGTCATCACAGCGGTGGTAGACAGCGAGAACGCAGGAGACAAAAACCCCGGCTCGGCCAAGCCAAGAAAACTCGACAACCATGACGACTTGACATTTACAGGTATGAATGGCATTTACCTACATGTGGTAGTCTCAATCCAAGACTGGATTCGGATTTAGTACCCATAATGCCGCGTGTCCCTGCACACTCAAGCCGCTGTGGCAGTAGAGGGCACCAACATGAATCAATTATAGTCTTAGGAACTTTGGCGCTCGAACCCGAGCTTCGCTGAAAGCATGTATCTAGGGAGTCAGGTTGGCGCAGTAGTTACTTTCCTCGCCTTCCACCTCTACGGTATGGCCCGGGTTCGATTCTAGCTGCCCTGATCACATGTGGATATATGGGTTTTCAGTTCCCACCTGATTCCGTGGGTATTTTTACCTAAAATATTCCTCTGGGGTTTTCCTCCCACCTGTAAAACTTTAGTTTCTTCTCATTATCTTCCCTCTACAGGGTTCTTGAGGCTTTCAAGATTTTGATTGATAGATCCTTGGTTTCATAACCGATAAAAATGCCCCTCACACACATTGCCCAGGCATGTACAGCGTGAGATTTACTCGGAATTTCGTGGGTCTGAGAGCCAAATTTCCATGACTGGATTTGGTTCATCCAGTACCTCGCATGCAATACATACGCAAGCTAATTAGCGTGAGGTTTACTCGGAATTTCGTGGGTCAGAGAGCCAAATTTCCAAGACTGGATTTGATTCATCTAGTACCTCGCACACAATACGTCGGTACATACTCGAGCTAATGCATGTACAGCGTGAGGTTTACTCGGAATTCGTGGGTCAGAGAGCCAACTCCCCAAGACTGGATTTGATTCATCCAGTACCTCGCATGCAATACATACGCAAGGTATAATACATATGTTACAGCGTGAGGTTCACTCGGAATTTCGTGGGTCAGAGAGCCAAATTCCAAAGACTAGATTTGATTCATCTATTACGGTACCTCGCACACAATACAAACTCGAGCTAATGCATGTACATGTACAGTTGACAGTTTGAGGTTTACTCAGAATTTCGTGGGTCAGAGAGCCAAATTCCCATGTCTACATGTAGATTTGATTCATCTAATACAGATTGTCACAAAGCTGTGTTAAATCCAGAAAGCAGCACACACAAAATAAAGACAATTTATTCTGATGCATGATGGTAAAATTATAAAACCAAATTGCCAAATTGCTGTGAATGCTCATAAGCCAGCCTTGGCACAGGTGGCCGTGAATCCAATTAATGAAGCATCCACACATGTTGCAGGTTGCCTGTTTTCCTTATGCGATATATCCTTGTGATTTAATTGGATTTTACATTTATGCACTGAACACTAACCATATGTGGTATTACACTGTACATGAAAATGTAATTGCAGCAATGAATGTTAATGTTATTCCACCAAGCATACAGTAATAATTTAGGTACGAGTACAGTCATTCTATAAATTTAGGGTCCAAAGTGAGACATTTGTTTTCCTGTCCATACCTCTGAACTTTGTAATTAAGAACATTTGGCTTCATCAGAGGATTTTTTTGGCGGGGGTAGGTACATGTAGTGTGCTACATGTGCATGCATAATCGTTCTCGGAGGACAATTAACTGTTGTAAGGAATGCATACGGAATTCTAAAATCATAGATGTCAGATGTAATATGGACAGGAAAAGAGACAAAAAATACAGAATGATCCAGTATTGAAATACAATAGGATTATTGAACACAAAATTTCTCACATGTGCCTATAGGGGCCTAGATAGTCAGAAGGTCAAAATAATTGAAACAGGCAACTCATGGGCTACATGTATACAATACATGTACGGTACAAATTGTAGTATTCAAATAGGTATGTTTACAAATGTACATTGTGAGATGGTAATACAATGTACATGTACATGTATGTACCTTTATTTCCTTTGAAATTGATCTGTTGTATTGCAAAATGTTGCCAATTCCCTCCAATAAGTACACACATGTTATTAAAACTGAAATGCACACAACTCATAAGACAAACACAGTTTTCAGTAATAAAAAATACACGTAGACAGTCCTTCTGTTTTGAGGCGTGCGATCACACACCCACGCCATCACACGCCTAAATGCTTCCTGAGAAGTACGAATAATCGCACGCCTGAATCCCTCAGTACCGCACACCTCTGCATACATTTACAGCATAATTATACTTCATAATTTTTGAAAAATAAAATACGTCTGTGAAGAGAAACGGCTTTATTGTAAACCAAGATGAATATTATGAAGAAAAAAAAAACCAGATTGTTCAGTCCCAGCTTGGACCACAGAATCACACACCTAGAAAAAATCACACGCCTTGAAAAATCACACACCTAGAAAAATCACACGCCTAGAAATATTCAGGTGTGCCTTTTTCCACACACCTGTGATTTTCAAATCAGAAGGACTGCGTAGACAGAAATTGTTTTCCTGTTTTGTTTTTTTAAATTGCATACAAGCACTCAAAAACTTGCATGTTGTGTGGGCGGCTGTGGTCAAATGGTTACGGTGTTCGACTCACATGCCGTTGTACGTGGGTTCGAAACCTGATGGGGGACATGGTGCTTTTCTTCTTGGGCAAGACACTTTACTACAATTGCCTCTCTCCACCTATGACCGTGGTACCTGTGAAGGTACAGACCAGAATGCGCTGATCTTGAGCTGCTGCAAAAACTGGTCTCATGGCCTGATGAACAGAGGTACTCATTGTGAAGCGCTTTGAGACCTTTGGTATAAAGCGCTATATAAGCACCACACTATTATTATTATTTATGTGTACAACAGGTTTAGGGTCTTCAAGACATAGACAAATGTAAAATCAGCGAAATGCGTGTTTCTGTTCACGTGATTAGCCCACTTGACCTAGTTTTGTGTCATAATTCTTTTGTAGAGATGTAGTTGGTTATGTTATTTGAATGTAGATGGAGTGAATCCTAAATGTTCTACATTGACCATTTCATTGTAAAGTTTTGTTTTGATTTCCCAGTACACTGCATTCGAAGGAACAGCCAAGGCAAGTGGAGAGTGCGGGAACTGAAATTTGAGTGTTCGGATCAGGAGACATGCCGGCGATGGGTGGCTCATATCAAGGAAAGAATTGTAAAACAAGGTACAATGGATTCACAACGTTAATATTAAGGCATAAAGGATCATTTACTTTTCATGCATTGTGTTCGTTTCCAATAATAACATCACTCAAAATCCAAAGAAGAGTGTTGAAATCCTAACCTATTGAAGGTTCAGCTAAGTGGATATTACACATTTTGAGAGAGAAAAAAAGGGAAAAACAGTGCACAACTTTTTGACCACGAAACACGATTTCGTCCATAGCTTGTTGGAAATCACCTACATTTCTTGATTTCCTCTAAGTAACTACAAGCCAGACGGAATAATCTTACAGGATGTTTAGTGCCACTACTATCTTCAGTACAAGTACACTTTTTTATTAGAACTCAGTAGGCTACTTTGGGTATAAATGCAAATAATCCTTCAATGTAGATACTTTTAATCCTGCTGGAAAACCTACAATCCTCCATAGTTCACTATTGTGAAAGAACCCCATTCTAAGGTTTATAGAAGTACGAAAACTCAAGATGGCAGGGTTATTTTTTATAAATTTGGCACATTATCCAAAACCTCCTTGTGGATTTGAAGGACCATTGAATGACCAAGATTCAAGAACTGAACAAAATTTTACGAAACCTACTGGTGGATTTGAAGGACCTTTGAAGGACAAATATTCAAGCTCTGAGCAGCATTTCCAAACCCTTCAGGTTGATTTCAAGGACCTTTGAAGGACCAAGGTTCACAATTTGAACAAGTGCATTAGGTCTTCATGATGAAATTTTATTGGGTACGAAATGAACAAAATTTAATTTCCACAACTTTGTGGTGGATTTGAAGAACCTTTGAAGGACCAAAATGTAAGCAATGAACAACATTTCCCAATCCTTTCAGGTAGATTTGAAGGACCTTTGAAGGACCAAGGTTCACAAAGTAAGTTATAAGATAGGTCTTCAGGATTAAACTTTCTTGGCTACATTGAAACAGAAGAATCGGTACATTTGTGTATAGGAAATTGTAGACATCAGTATTGCCCATGTCCACGATTGTTTTTACAATCTCAATCAACGGCTCTCATACTCTATGTCTGAGTCTAGCATTTATTACTTCATATCCTTCAATCACTTTTAATCTATCTTTTCAGGGAATGTCAGGCCACAGAATCTGTTGGTATTCATTAATCCGTACGGTGGCAAGAAAGAGGCTGGCAGCATCTACGATACGCACACTGCACCGCTGTTCAGCCTGGCAGGCATCAAAACGACCGTCATCTGTGAGTGAATAAATAAATAAACTACATGTAGAAAGCTCTCAGAAGCGCAAACCTCCGCCAAGGTTAAACAAGTACAATGTACTCACCATAATGTCAGTACGCCCGCAGGGCGTGATTGACATAAGTCAATAATGGCAGTTAAGGAAAAGTATTAAACTTAACTATGCATACTCCGAATGTAGTCAAATACTGTGCTTCTAAGGTGTTGTAAATAAAATAGGTTTGAAAGCATCATTAGTTGTGCTATGTACCGTATATGTAGGTTTAACTCAAAAGATAATCACATGAACGTAGCTCCCTTTTTGATAATTAAGGTTTTGTTTAAACATTTTGGAAAATTTTTTTAACAGATTTAGAATTGTTTTTGATTAAACGTTTAAACATGTAACGGTCACATCCTTACTTTGGGGCTTATTTGACTAAATTTTTGTCAGGTTGTGATTTTTCGGCAAGCCCCAGGCATATCCCTTGACCAGATATCTAATATAAAACCTTGTTTCTGCAGATACTGAGGCCAAGAACCACGCTCGGGATGTCATGCTGAAAAGAGACTTGACTGAATTTGATGGGTAAGATTCCTCTTTCCCCTCAAAATGTCTGTTAGTTTTCTTCTTCAACTTTTGGTGAACTACTAGGCAATGATGATTATACTCTTCAAAATAACTGGCTTTCTGAATAAAGGATTAATAGTGTGGTGAAGTAGCTTTTAAACATCTGGGTAAAGAGCCAGTTAGAGGCCTGGTTGCCGATGATGGCCCAAGCCGAGTAAAAACCATAATTTGGTCAGAAACATAATAAATTTGAAAAATTGAAAAGGTTCCGACGATGGTTTGTTCATCAGCTTTACTACATGTTCAGGTCACTTCTATGGTGTGCGTCGTGCATGTTTGCTCAACATCTCATTCCCCTTATATGGAGACGAAATCAGCGGTTCTCAAGCACCCATTTGTAGTAGGTGTGCACAGCCCGTACTGTGGGCATGTGGCGAGCAATGTCCCGCGACAGGTTTTAAACATAGCTGGCCGGTGTTTAAATGGCGTTATAAGACCACTCATGTGTCAGGCTCTTGACCCATTTAGGAATGGGGTAACTGTCTCCCACATTTATGAATAATCGTTAAATATTGTTATCTGGTGTTAATGAAAACAAGGATTTCTCAAATTGGTGTGGAGAAGATGTTGACTCAGTTTTAGAGGTGTGAGGAACACCTCAGTAAAGGTTATTGGAAACTCTGCAGAATCAGGTAGTGAGTGTATATAAACCCAATCCTTATGCCAGTCTGGGCAGGATTTGTGCCCTGGCATGCCTGATCACAGAGATGGAAACAATACTGCCCTATTTTTTATCTCCAAGCAGCATCCATTTCCATCAAAGAAATTGAGCTAAAAGTGTGAAAAGTAAGGATTCTCAAGTATAGCAACGGTTTGATATTGTTTCCAGGGTTGTCTGCGTCGGGGGTGACGGAACCTTCGCGGAGGTCGTAAACGGTCTTCTTGTCCGTACTCAGCAAGAAGGCGGTGTTGACTACAACGACCCTGATACGACCCCTCAGTGCCCCCTCATGAGGATTGGAGTCATACCTGCAGGTAACAATAAGGCAATTAGGAGATTTTCATCAGTTTGGCTCTTATCGAAAGTCAGTTCAAGGGTGCTGGCGACAGCTAATTTACATGACCTCTCATTGGACAGATTTTGTCTCAAAAGTTTTAAGAGTTGGAACATTCCTGGCAAAAAGTCCGTTCAAAATCCGGACCATTTCGCCATTCCACTGAGAACACAGACAATTCGGGCGATTCACAATGCAGTGCGCCACCAAGAGTTTGCCACGGAGAGTTCATTTTTCCCAGTGCATTGTGGGAGATGTTCAACAAATTCGCAGTGCGGGATGTTTGAAATTGTTAGTTTTTCCGGTCAGTAGTTTCGTAAGCGTATGATTCGAGTATCTGTTTGCCCTTTTCTTTTCTTTTTATCAATGTGGTGTTTTTTTGTAAGGGGACAGAATGCTATGCCCCAATCTATAGCAAATTAGCTCAAGTTGTCTATTGACATTCATTCAAATGGGCCTTGTTTTGTCGACCGCAAACTTGAAAAATGGACTCTCCATGGCAAACTCTTGGTGGCGCACGGCATTGTGAATCGCCCGAACTCCAGTGGAACGGCCGAAAAGCCCAGTGATAAAACGACCCAGGTGGAACACATCTATTGAGCGTGCCATTGGACTGTGTCACTGTTAACCATATAGTACATTTAGTAATCTTTGCCTGTTTCCAAAGTAAAGAATATGTCTGTCTTCACTATTAAAGACACAACCCAAACTGGGAACGGTCCCTGTGTGAACCAGAAATTCCCACCTTCCAGACAGACAAGGGAATGTTCTGACGGAATGCCTCACTCTAATGGGAATGTTCCAACGAGAACGGTCCAACGGACCACGAGCACTCCCGACTGATTCCCGAGCATTCCCGATTCTTTTAATTGGTGACCCGGGGTCAGCTCTTCTGAATGTGCTCAGAAAGCTCTGTTGACGAATGAGTGTTGCTTGATGAATCAATTTCACCGTGAACTGAACACAGCTTTATCACGGGTGATATGAACATAATTTTTCATTTTCTAGGTTTTGTTTCGTTTTTTCAGGTTCAACTGACGTCATAGTCTGTGACACTACAGGGGTTACTGACCCCGTGACCTCCACTTTGCAGATTGTACTCGGTGAGTACTTGATGGCCACTACGCAGTAAATAGATTTATTCTGTCGATGCTGCCCTGAAAACAAAATGCAAGCTTCGTTGCTGAAACAGCAGAAAAGGCAGTAGCTATTAAGCTTGCAGTTTTAGCAAAACTTGAGTAGTTGAGATTTCTGCTCGTAAACGTGAGGTTGTGGTTGGTTTTCTGTCTTGTGCAAACTTCTAAGTTTGTTGTTCCCCAGGCTCCGAGAAAGCCCTGGGCACACATTTGGCTTGGACATACCTTAGTTTATAAACTTGCCAGCTCTTGGGCGGATATGTAAGAAAAAAATATATTTGGGGGCTAATCGTCTTTACTCACAGAAAAAGCTGAATTGCAAAGGACACAGCACCACCGTGGTCGAACCGAAGGCAGTTAAAGGTACTGGTACCTTAGGCAGCCGATATACGACCCATGTCTTACCACTGAGCACAACCAGATCGGAAGAGTTGATTTTGTCGGGGAGATAAACTGGAGAACCCAGAGAAAAACCCTCGTGGCACAGTTTAGAATCAACGAACGACTCTACTCACATGATGACCTGAGCCGGGAATCGAACCCATGCCACAACGGTGAGAGGCGAGCACTGCATCACCAATGCCATCCAGATATATTGCAGACTGTGCACGTACTTTCCCTTCCTGAATTTGTGTAAATCATTGTTTGGTCTTTTTTATTTCCTTTTGTGTATTGTCCATCGTCAGGTTGTTCGCTGGGCCTGGACATATGCTCAGTGCACAGTGGCCATCAGTTACTACGCTACACTGTCTCCTTCATGGGCTACGGTTTCCTTGGCGACGTCCTGAAAGACAGCGAGAGCCATCGCTGGATGGGGCCACACAGATACGACTTCTCAGGTTGGTATTATGTCCATGCACAAACTGTAGAGGGCGACATGTTGAATGCAGTTGATAAGTACTTGCTTGTTGTCCTACCACACTTTTTTTTTCTTAAAATTTCAATTTTTTTTTATATTTCACATGTTCCTCATTCAAACAGAGCCAAATAAAGTGGTGAGAGCCTGTTTAACTAGAGTTGAACTATTGACCCTGAAACTCTTAGCCAATCCCCAGCCCCTCTGACAAGAACCACATGTGTAATAAAGTCCTTATAGTGAGTCTAGCTGGTCTCGCCGCAGGGCGTGGATTATCAATCATCCTTTCAACAAGACTAGCCAGCAAGTCAGTAGTTTGCAGTCCTCTGATGACCACTTTAGGGACCTTGACCATTCAGCCCCGGCATGAAAAGGGCCCCCCGGTAAGCTCGTCCCCTCCCAAGTAGTCCTTTCGTACTGTCCCAGCTACGGGCCCAGGAGCTGGTCTGGTTGCTAATCAGGAACTCCTCTATCCTGGGGTCTATTGTTTGCAAGTGTTGACACATGTAATATATCCCAGAAGAAACCTGCTTGTGGTTTTCATCTCTCAGCGCGAAACAATAGAACACTTCCGTCGGCACAGATCAAAACCCCTGCCATGCGGTTTCGCACACAATGGGACCGTAAATTTAAAAGGCGTTTGGAAGGATTTTATCTTTAATCCGGTAAATCTGCTATTGTTCTGCTCTGGACGTTCTCTGAAGGGCAATAAATTGATGCGCCTGACTGACTTCAAAACTTCTGGTCAGACAGGACCATGTACCGGACGAGACTGGGCTGAAGACCGGACTGGCTCTGGACCGGACGAGGTACCGGGGGGCCTTTTCATACCAGGGCTGAATGGTCACGGTCCCTTACAACCTAAATTTAATTGATAGACAGCAAAGAGTGAATTTGAACCGCTATTATCACAAAGTCCTGGCCACCGTGCGTGGAAAATGCCATACTAACGTCGAGGTTAAAGAATGAATGTCCCTATTTGAACTAACAGTTGAGTACAATCACTAAATTTACAATCCTGGTTCCCTGCTTTATATTGTAATACTGTGGCTATTGATTACCAGTCATGCAACCAACCTTAGCTGGTAAGTTTGAAACTATTTCCTAGTCCAACCATCATTGACTAGCAAGCACTCAGTGTAGATCAGTCAAGCCATGGTTATCATATCGGCCATCATTGTGTTTTTTTCGGCAAGGTATGTACCCCTATGGTTTGTAAATATGTGATAGCATTGCAGCGGTGGCAGCTTTTTGGGTGCTATCACCTTTTAAAAACAGTGGTGGCCAAAACATGCTTGTAAACACATAATTATAATTAATTTTTTAATATAAAAAGCATATTGGCTTCCATTTTGAAAAAAAAAAATTAAAGTGATAACACCCCAAAAACTGCCACCACTCATACTGCAAATCGAGCTATCACACATTTTTCCAACTTTAGATGTGCATATCTTGCCAAAAAAAACACTTTGAGCATTGCTCCTTGCGATCATTTCATACCAGCGGCCCATTTTTGGGACCAAAGCTGATAGCCCAATAGTCCCTGAAGGAATGTATGATACTGTACCTTTACCAACTTTCGGTCTAAAATTTCTCTGTTTGTCTATTTAATGTTTTTTTTCTAAATTGACCAGGTTTTAAAAAGTACTTTGGGAACAAGGCCTACGCAGGTGAGGTGACTTTCTTGACCAGTGGTGATGAGGACCATCATCCGCAAGACAAGACCAAGTGCAGGGTCGGGTAAGCTGGATTCTCCCGTCGCAAAGCCATACATTGTTGGATTAAATCAATCTCATGGTGAACTCAGATGGAGTGAACAATATAGAGGGCCCCTTGTGATCTTCCATCATTGTATAGCCCTTTTCACACTAGAGCCTCTCAGCCCGGGTTGAACTCAACCCTGGGCGAACCCAGTGCCGCCCCGGGTTCAGTTTTTGATTCTTTAACCCCACGTTCAACCCACTGATCTCTATATAAAGACTGGATAGCGGATATGCATACAACATTCACACAGTAGACTTTGCATATTGACCAATTCGCCCCTGGTCTCACGAAGATGGCCGCGTATATACGAACGTTCTACGCGTAAATACGCGCGCGTTGTATCAACAGTTGACGCGCATTTTGGTCACGTACACATATTATGATGTTCTAAAAAGGACACATTTCCGTAGTGATTATTATTTCAAAAACGCCGAAAAAGTGATTTGCGGCATTTTAAAGGTAACCACGACGTTAGAAAAATTGTAGTAAACCTTGGTCAGTTGGTCAGTGGTGGTGGCCAAAATATAAGTCAAGTGAGCCGCGACGTTACAAAAGAAATCATGATGTCTATAAAGACGGCAACTTGTCCTTTATAGATCACCAGCCGGTCTCACCAATATGGCGTCAAATTCGTACATTGTGCGGCTCTTTATTAGCTATCCAGTCTTTATATAGAGATCAGTGGTTCAACCCCGCATCGTTTCACACTTGTTTCATGCAAATCAAGCTTATCATGCTCAGTTACTACTGTTTCGAACCCTGGCAAGAATTTCAACCCGGGTTGAAAATCTCAACCCTGGTCTGGAGCAGGGTTGAGTTCAACCCCGAGCAAAATAAATCTCAGTGTTGATGCTGGGTTGACGCAGGGTTGAAATTCTTCAAGTGTGAAACGATGCATGTTGTCAACCCTGCGTCAACCCTGCGTCAACCCCGAGATTTGTCTAGTGCGAAAAGGGATTATGACACACTGTACAAATGGGCGTGTTCAGGACGAAAAATGATGTAGAACAAAAGAGAACAATACCGTCCGCGATTCCCAGCATACATCCGTGTTTTGGATCATGCACAAAATATATGGGAGTCTTTCTAAAAAGTTAGGGTACAAACAAAAGAGGGACAATAGGACGTCCACGGTGGGAGGGCGACACTCGACTGTGCAGGGGTTTGCTGCCATTTGTGGTGCAAAGTACACACACTGACTGACTGCCACTTGTGAGCCTGGCATTGCGATATTGTTGATAACCCAGTAGCTGGGTAGATCCATCTAGCCCATTGGGGAGACCAGATACTTGAATACTGTTTCTGAATCAATTCGGGCAATTCACAATACAGTGCGCCACCAAGAGTTTGCCACAGAGAGTTCATTTTTCCCAGTGCATTGTGGGAGATGGTCGACAAATTTGCAGCGCGGGACATTTGAAATTGTTCGTTTTTCCGGTTAGTAGTTTTGTAAGCGTATGATTCGAGTATCTGTTTGCCCTTTTCTTTTCTTTTTATCAATATGGTGTTTTTTGTAAGGTGGCAGAACGCTATGCCCCAGTCTATAACAAATTAGCTCAAGTTGTCTACTGACACTCATTCAAATGGGCCATGTTTTGTTGACCGTAAGCTTGAAAAATGGACTCTCCATGGCAAACTCTTGGTGGCGCACTGCATTGTGAATTGCCCGAATTGAATAGATTGCCATGTCTTGTCATTGTAGGTGTGCCGTTTGTCTTCGACGATCAGATTCCCAAACCAGCGATGTGTTTGAGTGTCTCGATAGCAGCACGGGTGGACCCGACTTACAGGATGACAACAAATCCCTAGGTACATTAAATAAAGGCAAAGAATTTGTTTTTGTTATCAGTTGCTCAGTTTCTGAGTTTGTTATTCTTCAAAAAATGAATATACCTGAATCAGGAAAATGCCCATTCTGTCTAATGTGAAAATGCATTGGTGCAATTTTCCAGTACTACAAAATAATTTATGCTCTCCGTGTCATGTTTCCCCAGTAGATTTACAAAAGGTTGCAGAGAAAATGCCTGAGAACATTGCAAATGGGGTGCTGTGGTCCAATGGTTACGGTGTTTGACTCGTGTGCCGTAGTACATGGGTTCGAATCCGGACCGTGGGAACATGGTGCTTGCGCTCCTGAGCAAGGCACTTTACCATTATTGCTCCGTCCTTCGGATGAGACGTAAAGCCGTAGGTCCTGTGTGTTGTGTAATGCACGTTAAAGAACCCAGTAACACTTGTTGCTAAGAGGAGGGGTTTGCCCCGGTGTTTCTGGCAGTGGCAGCAATTATGCGCCGCAGCACCTAGCAAAAAGGTGCTACATAATGGGTCTCATAATGTTCACATACATGTACTTCATTTACCTGGCTTTGGTTGCATTCTCCCCAGCGCTTTGTATCCTCTGGCAAAAAGCGCTATATAAATACAGTTATTATTATTATTATTATTATCTGTGTCAAGTTTCCCCAGTAGATTTACAAAAGGTTGCAGAGAAAATGCCTGAGAACATTGCAAATGCCTGTAAATTTCCCTTTGATTTGAGTACATTTCAGAAAGATTACAAGTTCCCAGCCACTCTGGAAATCAGGGGAAACGAAAATGAGTTTCCATTTTCCCAGTCAGGGAAAAATCAGGGAATATGGGAAAAACACCAAAACTCAGGAAATAAAACTGGGAATTTAACAGTGACCCAGGAGGGAAAGTTTTTTTGTTGACAGTTTGGCGAATGCCATCTCTGTTGCATATGGTGAGGAAAGGATGGCTATTAGAGGAGAAGGCAGGCCATCGCTTGTCAACATGCCTGTGTGTTATCAGTATCTTAGTTGCTTTGCTGCAACCACCTCTTGACTTTCCGACAACCTCGTTAAACTGCAGATATTTCTCAGGGAATTTTTGACATTTGTCAGGGAAATATCAGGAAAAACCCAGTGAATTGTGTTTTCATAAAGTGCGCAGAACCCTTTATTACTCATTAAATATGTCTCATTATATAACCGACACACAGATCCTTGTCATTTGATTGGTGGAACTCACATCACATGACATTCGTTATTGCTCCCATTCACGCCGCGGCTCAAAAAGTACTATCCGCCCATGGGGAATGGGAAATACTATTGAACAGTTAGGATCATGACGCGGTATTTATGTGCAAATGCATGCTGGTGTGCGCGTTCAGCGTTGCCCGTAGCGCGTATTGTTCCAAAGAGCCAGCGCTACAGCGTTGGGTTCAAACATTTTTGTGAAGGGGTGGTTTGGAAGAGAGAAATACATTTTCCTCCAGTTTTGTATTGAAATAACAGTTCAAATATATCAAATGACAAGGATCTATATGTCAGTTATATAAAACAAATATTGAGTGGCTTTAAGTTGTGAAATGGGAGGAATATTATCGCTCGGTAAAATCTGGACTTTTCCAGTTCACTCGGCTTCGCCTCGTGAAATGGAAAGGTCCAGATTTTACCGAGCGATAATATTCCTCCCATTCCATGCTGCGCCACTCAATATTTGTATACTGCGGTTTGGTTGTGATTTCTGTCAAACTTCTATTTAAAAGTTGGATGATTTGATCAAAAGTGTTTTATAATTTTAAAAGCCAATGTTTATAATTTTAAAAGCCATTATTTGCAATAAAACATGAGGTTTTTGGAAATACGTATTTTTTTTTCCAGTCAAGGAAAACAACGGGAGTTGGAAGAAAGTGACAGGCAGTTTCTGCGCAGTCAACGCCGCCCTGGTAAGCGGCTGCAACCGACTGGCTCCCAACGGTATAGCGCCCTCATCGCACCTCGGCAACGGATGCCTCGACTTGCTGCTAGTCCACAAGTGCTCGCGGTTCAATTTCCTCCGACACCTCATTCGGCTTGGGAACTCAGGAAATCATGTGAGTGATTCTGACACTGATTGGTCTTAGAGGCAGTGGACAACATCAAATCAAATCAGATCACAGTGATTCAAATCAGATCCAATCAAATCAGCATTTGCAAAAATACAAAGGTTTGTCAGAATAATATGAAACAGCTTACTTTTTAGCCGCGGGATAGCAGCTCAACAAGTCTTCATGTCTCTCTGTTAGTCCGTTAGTTGGTAACAAACGTTGACATTGTCTATTGCTCCAACATATTTTGACCAATTTCAATCAAACTTTGTCAAAAGTATCAGTAGCCCAGCCCCAACATGTCACATGACCAAACTGGGGTCAAAGGTCATCAGGGGTCACTGGGGTCAAACATCTGAATTTTTTTTTTTAATCCAAACACTACTCCTTCCAGAAATTACATGGCACAATAACATGACTCATGCATGAACACAAATTTGTTGGCCCACAGCTTCCGAGATAATTCAGATCGAGCTAATTTCGAACATAAATAATAGTGTTTTTATCCTGTGAAATCATGGCACCTGGCTTTTATATTCAAGTACGTTTCTCTAATGCATACGCTCACTTAATATGCGGTTACATGTATGTACTTTTCCCCCCGCTGGGGAGTGTGTGGCCTAGTTACTAGGTTAGGGTTCGTGACTCATGATCAGAGGGTCCGGGGTTCGAATCCAGCCGCTGGTCATAGGGCAAGGCACTTCACCCCCACTTGCCCCTCTCCACCCAGGAGTATAAACGGGTACCGGCATTAGCTGGGGAGTAACCTGCGATGGACTAGCATCCAATCCAGGGGGAGTAGAAATATTCTCAGTCGTTTCATGCTACTGAAACCGGAGATAAACGCCGGCCTGATGAGCCACATTGGCTCGGGACAGACTTTACTTACTACTTACACAGACACACACAGGCATGTAGATTTCATCGGGGTCTACCCGATATTCCCCGATACCTATGTTCCCTAATTTTTATGTTCCCCGAAATCCTTAGGGTTAGGGTTAGGGTTAGGGTTAGTGTTAGGGTTGGGGAACATAGGTATTAGGGAACATAGATATTGGGGAACAAAGGTATCCACCCGATTTCATCTGCAACATAGCAAGCTGGAATTTGAGGGTTGAATACAAACAGTACTTTTTGTTTTGTTTTTCTATCACATATGGACACACAAAATGAAACAGGCCAGTGGAACAGCATGCATTGTCAATTATAACAACTGTAAATTTTGTGCACTACCTTTAAACATAATCCGATCAGTTTCTGCAAACTGAACGTGGACGTTTCAGAGAAATTTGAAAAATGTAGTCACTTTTTTAGGGGAGCCATTTTTTGACAAGATTATCAAAACTAAACCTCTAGATGGTCAGAAACAATCTGGGATCAACTTTGTATTATAGAAAACACTGCCAAATGATAAATTTCATTTAAAAGCTTTTCCTTTTTTTTCCCCTCATTTTTTTTTCTCCCTCAGTTCAACTTTGACTTTGTTGAAGTGCACCGCGTCAAGGAATTCACATTCAAGTCCTTGACGAGCCAGGACCTGAAATCAGCCGGTAACCCGGCCGGAGAGTCCACCTCAAATACATCGCTGGTCAAACAGCGGCAATCGAGGTACCAGGCAACGGGCGACAGCAACACCAGTACTTGGAACCTGGACGGGGAAGTTGGTGATATTCCTGACATCAACGTTCAGTAAGTTGAGCAGACCATTTGCCAAATCACCCACCCATTGTTGTTGCAAGAGATTTATAATCAGTATGTTATTCGCTGCTACAGAGTCGGATACATTGTTCCAAAGAGCCAGCGCTACAGAGTTGGGTTCAAACATTTTCGTGAAGAGGTGGTTTGGAAGAGAGAAACACATTTTCCACCAATGTTGTATTGAAATAAAAGTTCAAATATGACAAATGACAAGGATCTATGTGTCAGTTATATCAAACAAATATTGAGTGGCTTGAAATTGTGAAATGGGAGGAATATTATGGCTCGGCAAAATCTGGAATTTTCCAGATCACTCGGCTTTGCCTCGACTCGTGAAATGGAAAAGTCCAGATTTTACCTGCCGATAATATTCCTCCCATTTCACTCTGAGCCACTCAATATTTGTATACTTGTCACTAAAGCTAAGGCTTGGGGCATGTGATGTGATGTCCTGCATGTATTATATACATGTGTAAATCCACTGTACATTTTATCGCATTTTATAGCCTAAACATTTCGTGTACGTTGGTAGAGGGGATTTGGTAACCGAATAGAATAGAAGAAAGGGTAGGCCTAATGTGAACTATGTAAACATCCCCCCCCCCCAAAGTCCCCGACTAACCTTCCCCCTTATATTTTTCATGTGTGGGCAATACAACAATTTTTTTTGCCATAGTGTGCCTAGGTGTTTACCCACTGGTGTTTTTGAAATTTCTTTTTTTTTGGGGGGGGGGGGGACATGGTGCCAAAAAATCCACTCTACCTTTGTCTAGGGAAAGTCTGCTTGCCCACCGTGGTGTCTTTTGTGCAGTGACTCTCTCTTTGACTCGGTTACTTTGAACGCTTTACATCTTTTCACTTGACCTGCAGAGTTTAAAAAGGTTTTACATTTTGTTGTGAAAATTGGCTTGCCAATAAGATGGTAAAAAAAAAACCAGAAGTAAGCTTTCGGTATTCTCTTTTCCCATCAGCGTTCACTGCCAACTCATCAAGATTTTTGCCTACGGCCGAGAAGACGTGAAATCCTTGAATGCCTCCTGCTGCATGTCCCGAAACCGGACCAAGAACAAGTCAGCCTGGAGATGAAGACCATTTTGCAGATCTCAGGAGGTCACCTTGATAATTAACAGTTGAAGATATCAACTCTTTCTTGCACCAAAGCCTCGCCCCGGCACAATCGCCAGCCAACTTTCAATGTTGTCACAGTTATGTGCTCTTATCAGCACCTTATTTATTGTAGCCTTGGTCAAGGTGTATTTGGTCGTTATAAAGCATACACACTAGCAGCACGCTATGCACACATGTACATACACGGACAGCGACCTCAAGCTGCTACAAAATGCAAATTTGTTGGGGAAGAACGAACACCTTGGAACAACTTTTTCTTTATTTTGTCACTGGATTCATTTCCATTTATATTTGGTCTGCAGACTCCAAACCTGTTGGAGAATGTAGCCACACTATCCTGCTCTCTATCCATGTAAACATTATGAGCGTCTATAACCAAGTACTGAAGAATAATCTCATCTGTATTCGCATGTGAGGTTGGTTTTTTTTGTGGTACGGTTATATCATTTAAAATACTTTTACCAAGCAACTGCCGAGGTTTTGAGTGGAAAGGTTGGCCAGTTACTGTCCAGGATTTATAGGAAAAAAAAAGTTGCTCGCAACTGCCAATGCTTACCAAATTAATAAAAGGCTTGCTCGCTACTGCTGAGGCTTACCAAATCACTAGAAGACTTGCTCGCAACTGCCGAGGCTTACAAAATTACTAGAAGAGTTGCTCGCAACTGCCGAGGCTTAGCAAATTACTAGAAGACTTGCTTGCAACTGCTGAGGCTTATCAAATTACTAGAAGACTTGCTCACAACTGCCGAGGCTTATCAAATTACTAGAAGACTTGCTCGCAACTGCCGAGGCTTACCAAATTACTAGAAGACTTGTTTGCAACTGCCGAGGCTTAGCAAATTACTAGAAGACTTGCTCGCAACTGCCGAGGCTTACCAAATTACCAGAAGACTTGCTCGCAACTGCCGAGGCTTACCAAATTACTAGAAGACTTGCTAGTAACTGCTGAGGCTTACCAAATTACTAGAAGACTTGCTCACAACTGCTGAGGCTTACCAAATTACTAGAAGACTTGCTCGCAACTGCTGAGGCTTACCAAATTACTAGAAGACTTGCTCACAACTGCAGAGGCTTACCAAATTACTAGAAGACTTGTTCACAGCTGCCAAGGCTTTCCAAATTACTAGAAGACTTGCTTGCAACTGCCGAGGCTTACCAAATTACTAGAACTTGCTGGCAACTGCCGAGGCTTACCAAATTACTAGAAGACTTGCTTGCAACTGCCGAGGCTTACCAAATTACTAGAAACTTGCTGGCAACTGCCGAGGCTTACCAAATTACTAGAAGACTTGCTCGCAACTGCCGAGGCTTACCAAATTACTAGAAGACTTGCTTGCAACTGCCCAGGTTTACCAAATTACTAGAAGACTTGCTCGCAACTGCTGAGGCTTACCAAATCACTAGAAGACTTGCTTGCAACTGCCGAGGCTTACCAAATTACTAGAAGACTTGCTCGCAACTGCCCAGGCTTACCAAATTACTAGAAGACTTGCTCGCAACTGCGGAGGTTTACCAAATCATTAGAAGACTTGCTCGCAACTGCCGAGGCTTACCAAATTACTAGAAGACTTGCTCGCGACTGCCCAGGCTTACCAAATTACTAGAAGACTTGCTCGCAACTGCGGAGGTTTACCAAATCATTAGAAGACTTGCTCGCAACTGCCGAGGCTTACCAAATTACTAGAAGACTTGCTCGCGACTGCCCAGGCTTACCAAATTACTAAAAGACTTGCTCGCAACTGCGGAGGCTTACCAAATCACTAGGAGACTTGCTCGCAACTGCGGAGGCTTACCAAATTACTAGAAGACTTGCTCGCAACTGCCGAGGCTTACCAAATTACTAGAAGACTTGCTTGCAACTGCCGAGGCTTAGCAAATTACCAGAAGACTTGCTCGCAACTGCCGAGGCTTACCAAATTACTAGAAGACTTGCTCGCGACTGCCGAGGCTTACCAAATTACTAGAAGACTTGTTTGCAACTGCCGAGGCTTAGCAAATTACTAGAAGACTTGCTCGCAACTGCCGAGGCTTACCAAATTACCAGAAGACTTGCTCGCAACTGCCGAGGCTTACCAAATTACTAGAAGACTTGTTTGCAACTGCCGAGGCTTACCAAATTACTAGAAGACTTGCTCGCGACTGCCCAGGCTTACCAAATTACTAGAAGACTTGCTTGCAACTGCCGAGGCTTACCAAATCACTAGAAGACTTGCTTGCAACTGCCGAGGCTTACCAAATCACTAGAAGACTTGCTCGCAACTGCGGAGGCTTACCAAATTACTAGTAGACTTGCTTGTAACTGCCGAGGCTTACCAAATTACTAGAAGACTTGCTTGCAACTGCCAAGGCTTACCAAATTACTAGAAGACTTGCTTGCAACTGCCCAGGCTTACCAAATTACTAGTAGACTTGCTTGTAACTGCCGAGGCTTACCAAATTACTAGAAGACTTGCTCGCAACTGCCAAGGCTTACCAAATTACTAGAAGACTTGCTTGCAACTGCCCAGGCTTACCAAATTACTAGAAGACTTGCTCGCAACTGCCGAGGCTTACCAAATCACTAGAAGACTTGCTCGCAACTGCCCAGGCTTACCAAATTAATAGAAGACTTGCTTGCAACTGCCGAGGCTTACCAAATTTCTAGAAGACTTGCTCGCAACTGCCGAGGCTTACCAAATTACTAGAAGACTTGCTTGCAACTGCCCAGGCTTACCAAATTACTAGAAGACTTGCTCGCAACTGCCGAGGCTTACCAAATCACTAGAAGACTTGCTCACAACTGCCGAGGCTTACCAAATTAATAGAAGACTTGCTTGCAACTGCCGAGGCTTTCCAAATTACTAGAAGACTTGCTTGCAGCTGCTGAGGCTTACCAAATTACTAGAAGACTTGCTCGCAACTGCCGAGGCTTACCAAATCACTAGAAGACTTGCTCGCAACTGCCCAGGCTTACCAAATCACTAGAAGACTTGCTCGCAACTGCCGAGGCTTACCAAATTACTAGAAGACTTGCTCGCAACTGCCGAGGCTTACCAAATCACTAGAAGACTTGCTTGCAACTGCCCAGGCTTACCAAATTAATAGAAGACTTGCTTGCAACTGCCGAGGCTTACCAAATTTCTAGAAGACTTGCTCGCAACTGCCGAGGCTTACCAAATTACTAGAAGACTTGCTTGCAACTGCCCAGGCTTACCAAATTACTAGAAGACTTGCTCGCAACTGCCGAGGCTTACCAAATCACTAGAAGACTTGCTCGCAACTGCCCAGGCTGACTTAGTCACTAGAAGACTTGTTCACAGCTGCCGAGGCTTACCAAATTAATAGAAGACTTGCTCGCAACTGCCCAGGCTTACCAAATTAATAGAAGACTTGCTCGCAACTGCCGAGGCTTACAAAATTTCTAGAAGACTTGCTCGCAACTGCCGAGGCTTACCAAATTACTAGAAGACTTGCTTGCAACTGCCCAGGCTTACCAATTTACTAGAAGACCTGCTCGCAACTGCCGAGGCTTACCAAATCACTAGAAGACTTGCTCGCAACTGCCCAGGCTGACTTGGTCACTAGAAGACTTGTTCACAGCTGCCGAGGCTTACCAAATTAATAGAAGACTTGCTCGCAACTGCGGAGGCTTACCAAATCACTAGAAGACTTACTCGCTACTGCCGAGGCTGACTTAGTCACTAGAAGACTTGTTCACAGCTGCCGCAGCTTACCAAATCACTAGAAGACTTGCTCGTAACTGCCGAGGCTTACCAAATTACTAGAAGACTTGCTCGCAACTGCCCAGGCTTACCAAATTACTAGAAGACTTGCTTGCAACTGTGGAGGCTTACCAAATTACTAGAAGACTTGCTCGCAACTGCCGAGGCTTACCAAATTACTAGAAGACTTGCTCGCAACTGCCCAGGCTTCAGGTAGGACCCATTCACTCTGAGCGGGAAAACGCCACCTGGCCAATATCCGAGCCCAAAGAGTCGAAGATTAAACTGAATTTACAGTTTGTCAAAAAGTCTCTGGGATCACTGCAGTTGTCGTCTCTGGGAGTAAAATGGAGTGTCTGTGTCTGCGTGATAGCGCTTCACGTTTTATACAACTGTTACATAATAGCCCACTTTAAGGAAAAGAAAAGAAACACATGCGTCTTTTGCATGAAACAAACTCTTTTATTTGCCACATAGCAGTCGCATACTTTTGACCATTTAATACAAAAAGGAGGAATTCACTACATGTTGCTGGCAATCAAGCAACAAAATAGATAAATGATAAGCCAACATGATCTGTTGTGCCAAGACGTTCATTCTTCCCCAACTGATTTGCATATTTTGTAGGCGCGTTAGGTCGCTGTTCATGCTCTGTACGTACAGTGTATGTATGCATGTAGTGCACAGCTAGTGTTAACGTGAGCGGCCAGATACCGTCACGGACACTATCGACGAATTTGAATACCTTGACAAGGCTATAAATTGTGGCAACAGTTATATGTGCAGTACTTTTTAGATGATATATTTTATTGTATAGATATAATGTTTACTTAAAGATTACACTACATTGATTTCGCTGTCATGGAGTCGTGGATTGATGGGCTTTGTGAGCGTAGCATGCTGAGATTTCCCTGTGCTGCATTTACCTCCAGTCTATTATCAGTGCAAGTACTAATAGTTTGTTCCTTATTCAAATCAACCACAAATAGGTGAAAAGAGGGCTTGAAACTTGTATTCGTGCATCAGGCTCAACAGGGTAAAACTTTTCGCTATCAAGTTGAATATGATGTGACATGCTCCTACAGGAATTAATTTGAATGTTGTTTCATTTGATTGGACATTCATATGCCTGAAACAGTTAACCCATTCCTATTGGTCGAGAGCCCGTCACGTGGGTGGGTTTTAAACGGTTGATAAACCATTGACTGGTTTTAAACACTTTTTTTCGGCACCGCTGCATTCTGCGCCACATCACTGCAGTACACGCCACTTGCACGTCAGTCTCCATGTAAGGAGATTTTTAGTACTACTCGCGCGAGGCACATACCATAAAAACATGGTTAGAGGGGTGTTTCACTAAACATGAAGTAAAATCGTTGAACAAATTCATTGGAAATTTACAATTTTGTACTTGTTTTGACTTTTTGACTGAAAGCAAATTTATGAATGGGACTAAGTGTTGGCCGGTAACTGGCTAGGGGGCCTGGTCACTGATAATGGCCCTCGTCTTTGGCTCGGGGCCATAATTGGCGTCCAGAGGTCCCTAGCCTGTTTACCGGCCAATCACATGTTCATTCCCTTAATTATTATACGTTTCTTCTACCGTGTACTAGATTTTGTTGTTTTCATCAAACAATTACAAATCCTGTTATTGAGGCAATATATGACAGCATTTTTTATTTTTAAAGTCACAACTTCTTTTTTTATGGAGTCTAATCATGTTCTCAAAATATCAAAAACATCAGTTAGGTCGTACCTACAATGTAGGTACCGTGCATTACATAGCATTGGAAAGCTTGTTACATGTATTTCTCTTGATTTCTCTTGATGACAATCTGAAATTTGTAGAAAAATCTTTGAATTGCTTTGAGAAGCAACCATTCTGGTCACATACTTTTTGGAGCTTTGGTGATCGGACTTAATTTATAAAGTTTTGTTTTTTATGTCGTAGTTGTGTGGATGATACATTTTATTGTATTCTGTGGTTTTTTAGTGTGATATTTACGTAGACTCAGGTTATAGAGACATTTCTTTTATTTGTAAATTTGGCAACTTGCAACCATTCCGGCAAACTTTTAAGTTAAATTTTAGTTGTTTTCAAATATACCAAAAATGTGAAATTTTAGTTGATATGATATGATACTTTGCAGGATTTTGTGCGAACAATTCAAGAAATACGATTCTGCGCCACACAGTATATACATTTGAAATCTGACAAAGTTAGCAATATGTTATAAGAAACATATTTGTTTCATCGGGTTTGGGTTTGAGGTAAAGTACTTGGCAATGAGTTTATTATTTAAAAGAAAATAAAGGTTAAAGTTCATTTTATTAAAATTCTGCGGAATTGAAATTTTCAAAAGTGCATAAGGCCAGCAAGTTTGGATTTACAATCACATTTTACCTGAAAAGCAACAAAAATCAAGTCTCTAATATATTCTAAAGTGTCAATGAAAACATATTTTTTTATATTACATAACAGGACTGGTATAATATTGAGCCTGACGTGGTATATTATATTGGACCATGCTTGAAAAAAGTGCTATAATGTGCAACATCATGTTAACAAAAGGTCAGGGGTTAAAATGATTTGTTGCTAGTCTACTCGTAAAATTTCATCCAAAGAAAGTATTAGCAGTATTTGTATTTGGTGAATGGGCGTGTAGTGACATACCTGTGTATAGGACAAAAGAGGGTGTAAAACATGTGGGTCACGCCGTAAATTTGGTGTCCATTTTGTAAGTGTGTCACTGTTACATCTGATATAAGATTTTTGAAAATTCAAGACACTTCTTTAATGCCTTCTATAGAGTCCAAGAGTGATTATGTAATAATGATAATAACTGTAATGCTTATATAGCACTCAAAGCGCTTTACATCATGATTAGGCCACGAGACCACGCGGCAGCCGATATCACTTATCAGCACACACTCTGTCCTCTACCCTCAGAGGTACCCCTTTATACTCCTGGGTGGAGAGAGGCAATTGTAGTTGAGTGTCTTGCCCAAGGGCACAAACACCATGATCCTGGCAGGGTGCGAACCCACGCACCATTGTACATGAGTCAAACACAGTATTCCACTGTACCATGGCATTCTATGTAAAGCAATGTACTTGCCAGACAAAAAAGTTAGCAGTCAATGTTAATGGTACCTCATGGCAAATTACAAAGATTAGGCGCAACACACTCAAAAGAAATGTCGTAATTTGGACCTCAAATTTATGGAACGACCCATGTATCATATGACTTATGTGCATTGTAGCTCTCTTATGGAACACCTTGGGAATCATTTTAATGTTGCACCAAAGTATTTTGTGTGATAAACCCCCAGAAGGTGTTTTGTAGTATTAATAGGGTGTTACTGGTAAATTCAGTTCGGAAGCATTGCTACAGTTTATTTTTGTTCAAGCGAATGACTGGTACCTCAGTTATCTGTTTATTCTCACATATGTAAGCATGATGATGGACTGAACAATGTTTTAACTCAAAAGTCAAAAAAGTTAGCATTCCATCGGTGAGAGGGTCTAACTTAGGCTCCAATTTATGAATTCGAATTGGTTGACTATTGTGTCTGAACAGTTTTAAAGATTAGAATTGTATTTCACCACTTTTATGTACACCTTCAGTATTTCAATTTTAACTGTTGAACATTCTTTAAAAGGTCACAAATTGAAGAAAGTATTCTTTAAAATCCTGTGAAGTAGACTTTGAATTAAGAAGAGCCATCATGTTGATTGTAAAGTTAAATTCATTGCCTTGCCTTGAGAATTTTCACCATCTTGACAATTAAGTCTGTGTTAAACATCGGAGAAATTCCACAGTTCTCAGCCAGCTATATTTCACACTTGTTGATTTTTTTTGTAGAGAGATGCACTTGCATGTAATGCGCACTGGCTTGTCCCCTGCCGAAATATCAATTGTCACTTTTTGGAAAAGAAAGAGAATAAATCATATATTTCAAAAGAAAGTGTCTCCCATGTGATCCTGTGATTATTGTGGTTAGTTTGTTTTAAAGGGCCCGTGCAATGAATTTTTCATTTTGTGCAACTTTCTGCTCTTAAACATATGAAAACCATTTGACATATTCCCTTTTTGGTAAAATTGATTGAACAGTGGATTTCTTTAAACATTTTCCATGCTTTTCCGGACAACTGAGGGCGCTGTTGCTGTGATGTCATTTCAGGAAGACACTTCCGTTTACGGGTTTTCTGTTCAAATTGTGAACTCAAATATTTGCTCATTTGAAAACAATACTGACAAAGGGTTGCTCATTGACTTACTACACAACGACAACTCACCAAAGAGAAGAAAATGTATGACACTGAAAAATCACAAAATTCTAGGAACTATTTGTGTTGAAAGAGCTGTAACATTGAGGTTTCTGCCTCAAAACGCTTTTGCTCATGAATACTGAATTTGCATTAGCATAAAAACCACAACGGCACCAAAATGCCCTTCAAACTGGCGAAAATGAAACTTGAAAATAAGGTTACATGGCACATAAAAGTGCATTTTCAAGGATAGCATTGCAACAAATTCCTTTGTATCGGCCCTTTAAATGTAGAGCAGGTTTTCTTGAGCCTGGTTTTGGGTGGTTTGTCACTTTTCACTCTTTTTTCTTCAATGAAATTACATGTTTATCAAAGCCCGACTGTTTCTCAATCCCCTCTTTTTACCCCGTTCCATTTGGGTCCCTAGATCCAGAAATACAATCAATTAAGTGAAGGGTGTAAATTTGACTTGGGCCACTCTCACCTGGACATGCCGAGTCTGGGTTAAGCGTTGATTAGGGATCGAATCGGCATTGAAGTTGGTGACATTAAACAGTTTGAATTATCTGTTTGCTGAATGTTGTACTTTTTTGGCAAACTCTGTATCTAATGTAACATTTCATTTTCTGTTGGAGAACTCTACTTCCATGCAAATAACCCCACATCGGGAAAGGGGGGGGGGGCAGAGATTAAATATGTCTTCAAAAATCTACAATGTGTCACACTTTCAATAACTGCCTATTTTCTTTTATTTTCAGCATCTGAAAATTAGATTTAGATCACTTTTTTTGCACAGTTTTGAGCAACTCCAGAGATTAAAGACAAAGTCTAGTAGAAAGTGATAAACAACTGTTCCATGTTTCAAATTTTGGAATCTAACCAGATCAAACAAAAGGTAAAATGCAGAGTTTATCAAAAACCAAATTTACTTCATTTTTTTAAGTCAACCGTTACTGCTTAAGTTATAACAATGCTTTTGAAATAAAATAATTGAAGATTTTGCAATTCTTTTATTTAACATTTGACATTTTTGATTGCTTTTTATTGCCAATTTTTAAATATCCATCAAAAAACCAAGCAGCTGAAAGTAGACTCCTAGGAGTGTTGAATTTTTTTAACAGTTTCAAACCAGTTTCTCAAACTTATCTAAATAAAGTTTGGCTATTAATATAAGCTTTAACGAGGAAAAACTAACAAGTTCAAAATTAAAACGTGTAATATAAGCACAGATTGTTTTAGTGCACTTTTCCTGAAGCAATTTCAAGTCTTACAAACATATACATCAGTTACTTAAGGTATAAAAAATACTTTGTAAACATCTATAAAACATTTGTTTTTAATTTAAATTCAAAAATCTTTTCTGTTTCCTCCACTCGTAATGCAGTCTCCATTATACATGGTATAAAGAACATCTGCACGTACGAAGAAAAGATATATTTTCAAGTAAAAGTCTATCTACCACAAGTATTATTTTTTTAATTCATTCCGTTTAGAGGGCAAACAATGGAAACAAAATCACAAATAAATGCCCTATGAGGATGGAAAATGTACAGTAAACTCACAAAAATACAACTGAACAAAAAACTGCCTTAAACATATTTTGTTTGGTCCAAACGTTTCCCTAGTCTGTGGAAAATCCCCTTGCTGTTCGGCGAGTGAATTATGCAAAACAAAACTGCATCTCGACCTCGCGATACTGACCATTCAGCGGGCGCCTTCTATCGGGTCTTTGGTAAATGCCGTTGTTGTATTACAAAAACATCTCAGCCCAATTCGGGCGAGTCACAATGCAAGTGTTTGCCATAGAGAGTCAATTTTTCAAGTTTACGGTCGACAAAACATTGCCCATTTGAATGAGTGTCAGTAGACAACTTGAGTTAATATGTTATAGATTGGGGCAAAGCGTTCTGCCACCTTATAAAAAAACACCATAATGATAAGAACAAAAGAAAAGGGTAAACAGATCCTCGAATCAGACAGTTACGAAAGGACTGACCGGAAAATCTAACAATTCAAATGTCACGCGCTGCGAATTTGTCAACCATCTCCCACAATGCACTGGGAAAAATGAACTCTCCGTGGCGAATTCCTGGTGGCGCACTGCATTGTGCATCGCCCGAATTGACCAATCAACAGCTTAGTCTACATTTCTGATCAAAATGATGTCACATTTTCTAATGTAGACTCCAATTGGCTGGCGCGTGAGGTCGCACAAATTTTTGCAAAACTCACATCAGACGTCGGTTACTGAGAGGATTCCGTTGGACAACGGGAGATACTCAAGGCTACATTTTGTTACGGCTGGTTTTGGAAAAAAATTCCAAGATATGCGTACGGTTACTGATGGGTAAAGAAAACATCTGCGTACTCTTACAAACATTTAATAAAAGCAATTTTTTGTGTTCAGCTGACTCATATTATAAAAAATACAAAATGCACCGACAAAACATGTTACCATATTCTCCCACAAACTCTCAATGATGACTACTGTTAAGAAAACGCCTTACCGTGGTACCAGGGCTAAAATAAACCCAGTGCAGCAAGTTGAACTTGTAAAATAACTATATGCCTCTACCTTCTAAAAGGCGAAAATAGAAAGGACATTTTTACACTACAGTATATAACTTTTTTTTTTCACTTCAAAAATATGAAGACAGAAACAAGAATGCTAGTTTTTCCCTGACAGAAAAAAAAGATAAAACGGACCAATTCCACGGAGAAAGTGCATAAATTTAACTACAAAAAAACCCGACAAGCTTGGTATAAAAAGGTTACTAGCCCAAGTCTAATGTAATATTTCACAACTGTTGACTGCCGTGATGTGGGATGTGACATTCTTAATACCCAAAAGGTTACTAGCCCAAGTCTAATGCAATATTTCACAACTGTTGACTGCTGTGATGTGGAATGTGACATTTTCAATACCAAAAAGGTTACTAGCCCAAGTCTAATGCAATATTTCACAACTGTTGACTGCCGTGATGTGGGATGTGACATTTTCAATACCAAAAAGGTTACTAGCCCAAGTCTAATGCAATATTTCACAACTGTTGACTGCCGTGATGTGGGATGTGACATTTTCAATACCAAAAAGGTTACTAGCCCAAGTCTAATGCAATATTTCACAACTGTTGACTGCCGTGATGTGGGATGTGACATTTTCAATACCAAAAAGGTTACTAGCCCAAGTCTAATGCAATATTTCACAACTGTTGACTGCCGTGATGTGGGATGTGACATTTTCAATACCAAAAAGGTTACTAGCCCAAGTCTAATGCAATATTTCACAACTGTTGACTGCCGTGATGTGGGATGTGACATTTTCAATACCAAAAAGGTTACTAGCCCAAGTCTAATGCAATATTTCACAACTGTTGACTGCCGTGATGTGGGATGTGACATTTTCAATACCCAAGGGAGGCATAGCACCGAGGCGAAGCCCTGGATGTGCCACAAGTGGGTTAAAAACGGCCGTCCTAGGCTCTGAAGGTCACATAGTGGGTGAGGCCATACTAACCAGCCACTGTTACACCTCGGCTGATTACATGGCCTGGAAAATGACAGGGCGAAGAGGTGAAAGAGAAGGTCTTTAAGCGACAAACTGAGGATGTTGTCAGCGTTCCAGGCTGGCTACTTTCTACAGATTGGGGTTGGTCCACTTGTACGTTCCGGTGAATTTGAAGTTGTTCTTTTCCAGTAGTTTGTCTGCCTCTGGGGGGCCTCGGCTAGAACAAAAATGACAAATCAATGTTTCACTTCTCGCAGACAATTATGTATTTTTGAATATTTATATATCCCTTCTCGTCATATGTCCTGCTTTGGCAAAATCAAAGGCTTTGAGATGTCTTGCAGCCATGATCCAGCAGACTGTAAGGAACACACTCTCTGAGAAATTTCGCAAAACTGAAATACTGTAGCTTATTCGATTGACAAGATTGTTGAAATTGTGCAGTAACAGCTTTTGTTTTTGTTTTAACTAACCCTCCTGCTGTCTGAACACTCACAGACAGTCAAACAATTGATAATCTTTCCCCAGCCATGCCTTTTTCACAGGCTAGTCACCAGCATTCAGATCATATTTCAAGCACTGAAGCACTGTGACCAGTCAAATTCGGTCAACAGACAAAAACAGGCGAGTGGTTGGCATAGCTGGCTTATCAATCACCTGCAGTCATTAAGCATAGCTGTATCAAGTTGCATGAACAGTCACTGCCAGTCAATCCTGCTTTACATAAGCAGGGAGCTCTTATCCCTTAAAAACGGTCACTGGGATTGCTTTTGACTGAAAAGGGCAAGTTTGCACAGAATGTATATGTGTGCTTGCATGGGAGGGTTAATTGGAAGGTAAAGCTTTAAGGCTGATACCTGCCATGCAATGTTATACAAATATTGAGTGGCTCAGAGTGAAATGGGAGGAATACTATCACAAGGTAAAATCTGTACTTTTTCATTTCACGAGGCGAAGCCGAGTGAACTGGAAAAGTCCAGATTTTACAAAGCAATAATATTCCTCCCATTTCACAATTGAAAGCCACTCAATATTTGTTTTATATAACTGACATATAGATCCTTGTCATTTGACATGTTAAAACTTTTATTTCAATACAAAATTGGTGGAAAATGTACTTCTCTCTTCCAAACCGTCCCTTCACGAAAATGTTTGAACCCAACTCTGTAGCGCTGGTTCTTTGGAACAATGTATCCGACTCTGAGGCAGCCTATAACATTCTGATTATAAATCTCTTGCAACAACAATGGGTGGGTGATTTGGCAAATGTTCTTTCCGACTTACTGAACGCGCACACTAGCATGCATTTGCACACAAATACCGCATCATGGAACAACAATGATCCTATCTGTTGAATAGTATTTCCCATTCCCCATGGGCGAATGGGACTTTCTGAGCCCCGGTGTGCATGTGAGCAATAACGAATGTCACGTGATGTGAGTTCCACCAATCAATTGACAAGGATCTGTATGTGAATCGTACAATACCTTTAAGAGGTAGAACTTGCTTAAAGCAATGACGCAAATATAGAAATATTCATGCGAGTGCAACATTTAGAATGTTTCATAATGAAATAAGCTTGCAGTTAGCACAATTTTCTTATTTTAGCTATAGTAATTAGCCTAACTCTTCAGACAGCCATTACACAGGACCATGCAATTGGCTCAATTCTCTTTTTCTGTCCATGTTGTGTCTTACCTGCCAAAGACGTATTCAATGGGCTTGGGTTTGTTGTTCTCAATCTCATTCAGAACAGGTGTGAAGATGCGCCAAGCCTCTCTCAACTCATCGCTGGAGACGAAATGGGACAAAAAAAGACAAGACATACAAGATGGGATTTGGTCGGAAATGTAATACGTTGAAAATAGGTTGGAAATTCCTACCCACTTTTGTTCCTGTTAAAGGGAAGATACAACATTTGCAAACATCAAAAAAGAAATGATCAAATTATCACGAAATACCTTACTGAATTGCTAGGGATTGACAGTCTTAAAGCACCAGTAAAATGGTGGCTCCTGGTGTGCTGACATTTTCAAGAAAAACTGTATTTTTCCAACGCTGGTCGGCCGACCAGCGTTGGAGAAAACTGACTTTTTTCAAAAACTGCTCCTCATTTTTCATATTTAGTTATTCCGTATTTTCTTTGCAATTGATTACACACTTGTGAAGGGGTACAAGCCTGCTAGACTGATTCTTTGACCTTACAATTCCCTAAAGTCTTTACATTTCTCCGTTTTATCTTAAGTAGGGTCAGGGAACAAGACTACAAGAACATGATTTGTTGTCTTGGTTTTTCCAGCATATACAAGCCCAAAACGTGAAACAAGTCAGTTTAACAATATTTGCTATAACATACTAATCCTCCAAATCGATTTATTTCTGAAAAGTGCAACAAAAGCAAATGTTGTACATTCCCTTTAATAACTGGTAAGGGCTGATCCGTGAGGGGGCGTCAATGGAGGCCGTGCCACCCCCCATTTTTTTGTTTGAAAGTGACGTCGCAAAAAAAAACAGCCACTGTGTACAACACAATGCACCAATGCCATGATGAGTCATAGTGCCCCCCCCCCCCTTGCTTTTCATATTAAATTTAGGATGGACAAATTTTGGACCCACTTTTTTGGGGAACGAAAAAATTTTGGTCCCCCCCAAAAAATTGTGTTCTTCCCACTTATGCTTAATAAAAAGCTGTGCATTTTCAAACTATTTTAGTATTCAATTATTCAAGCTTGGCTTCCATCGAAGAATAATCAACGTTGGAACTCACCTGCGCACAAAGTGGATCTGGAGTCCACAGAACACATCCAGGATAAGGCGCTCGTAGGCGTCAGGCATCTTCACATCCTGCATTGTGGACAAAGGAAAGCTGGTAAGATATTGGAGAGATTATAAGATTCCAAATTCCACCACAGATTCCAAATTCCACAACAAGGCATTGATAGCAGCACCCACTGCGATATCAGATGGAAACCAGCCCGCCAACGCCCAGCAAGCTTTAATAGTGGTTGGTGAAAAGACATCTTCACAGAAGGTCATGGGTTCGAGTCCCAACCACGTTACATTATGAAACCGGGCTTGTGGCCTGGTTACAGATAATGTCCCTCGCCTTTGGCTCGGTCCATTATCAGCGCTAGCGGGATTTACAAGTACTTGTTTAAAGCCAGCCCAGCACATATTGATTTCCTAACTACACTTTGCCTCCCAGTTTCATAATGTTACTTGGTCGGTCAAAATGTCAAAACAAGTCAAACTTTCACAAATTTCCAACAATTTTGTTCAACGATTTTACTTTGTGCTTTGTGACACACCCCTCTAACTAGTTTGTGGAACGTGCCTCGCGGGAGTAGTACTAACTAAAAAAAATCTGCTTATATGAAGATTGGCGCGCGTGTGACGCATCCTGCGTAATGTGGTGCAGAATGCAGTGGTGCCGGTATGCAGTGTGAACTTAGGACTATGAAATACGGACTCATTGGTAGTATTGTGCATGCCTAAGTGAAGGTAATAGGAGAGTGACTGGTCACTTATGAGGGTTCAACCAATAAAAGGGTAAACGGGAGCAGATTCAAAGGAGTCCAAATTTCATGTGACACCGGAAAAAAAGGGTTTAAAACCAATCGGTGTTTAATCAACCGTTTAAAACCACCCACGTGATGGGCTCTCAGCCAAACTGTCTTACGTATTTATGAAGGTAACATAAAAAAACACTTTTTAATGAATAAAACTGAGTAAAAGAAAACCTTGTATCTGGCTCCATAGGTGAGATCCAACTCAGTCTCTTTTGGAACGAAAGACATTCCCGGGGATTTGGTCATCATCTTACAGTAGACGGCCTCGTTGGGCTGCACGCGGATGACCAGCTCATTGCGCTTACAGTCACCGGCGAAGATATCACCGGGAACATCCTTGAACTGGATTCGAACTTCGGCCTTGCGTTCGTTAAGCGCTTTGCCACATTTCAGTACAAATGGAACACCTACAAATAAAAAGGATAAAGATAAAACTTTTTGATGCAAATTGGTTCACTGCGATAGGTTTGACAATTACTGTGTACTGTGGTCAAGTTGAGACTTGAACACATTGACTTGAGACTTGACCAGATGTGACTTGAGACTTGACCACAGTGACTTGAGACTTGACCACAGTGACCTGAGACTTGACCAGAATGACTTGGGACTTGACCAGAGTGACTTGAGACTTGACCAGAGTGACTTGAGACTTGACCAAAGTGACTTGGGAATTGACCAGAGTGACTTGAGACTTGACCAGAGTGACTTGAGACTTGACCAGAGTGACTTGAGACTTGACCAAAGTGACTTGGGACTTGACCAGAGTGACTTGAGACTTGACCAGAGTGACTTGAGACTTGACCAGAGTGACTTGAGACTTGACCAAAGTGACTTGGGACTTGACCAGAGTGACTTGAGACTTGACCTGAGTGACTTGAGACTTGACCAGAGGGACTTGAGATTTGACCACAGTGACCTGAGATTTGACCAGAGTGACTTGAGACTTGACCAGAGTGACTTGAGACTTGACCAGAGTGACTTGAGACTTGACCACAGTGACTTGAGACTTGACCAGAGTGACTTGAGACTTGACCAAAGTGACTTGGGACTTGACCAGAGTGACTTGAGACTTGACCTGAGTGACTTGAGACTTGACCAGAGGGACTTGGGACTTGACCAGAGTGACCTGAGATTTGACCAGAGTGACTTGAGACTTGACCAGAGTGACTTGAGACTTGACCACAGTGACTTGAGACTTGACCAGAGGGACTTGAGACTTGACCAGGGTGACTTGAGACTTGACCAGAGTGACCAAAGGCCTGACCAGGGTGACTCAAGACTAGACCAGAGTGGCCTGAGGCCTGACCAGAATGACTGGAGTCTCGAACAGAGTGACTTGAGACTTGACCAGAGTGACTTGAGACTTGACCACAGTGACTTGGAACTTGACCGGAGTGACTTGAGACTTGACCACAGTGACTTGAGACTTGACCACGGTGACTTGAGACTTGACCCGGGTGACTTGAGACTTGACCAGAGTGACCAAAGGCCTGACCAGGGTGACTCAAGACTAGACCAGAGTGGCCTGAGGCCTGACCAGAATGACTGGAGTCTTGAACAGAGTGACTTGAGACTTGAACAGAATGAGACTTAGCCAATGTTCAACCATGACCTACGTACCGTCCCAGCGTTCATTGTTAATCCTGAAGACCGCCGAGGCGAACGTTGGCGTGACAGATCCTCTAGGGACAGTGGGGTCCTCCAGATAACCCTCCTTAGCATCCCCTTCTCCGTCGGGATTACCGACGTACTGTCCCAGCACCATGTCGTCCAGCTTCAAGGGAGGGATGCACTTGGCGACTTTCACCTGTCAAGCACAAACAAAAAAGATTGTCTTAATTGGACTTTTGGTGACACGCTGGAAAGAATAGGGGTAAACTCTTGCATGTTCGTATCAAAATTTACCCAGTCCAAATGGTGCTCTCCAATTGTGTCTGCCATGTTTCAAAAAGGCTCATGGGAGATATTTGCTGTATTTAATTAAACTAGAAATTGAGGAGACTTTCTTCAATACTTCTCCTCAGGTATGGTTGAAGGGGTTGTCCAAAAAGTGGAAGCAGAAAGTGCTGCGTGAGCGGGTACATTTTTTAACCATTACAATTATAACATCTTTTTTTATTATAGGAATGAAAGTTTTTAATATGGCCAACATATACCAATGCAACTAGCTGACTCGATCATAACATCCATGGCTAATGATTATTGAATAAATGCATGCCACGGTCCAACAATCAACTTGGAACTACGTACCTTTTCATCGCGCATGTCGTCTGCGCTGGCACTGGTCGGTTTCTCCATGGCGACCAATGTCAGAATCTGAAACAAATGGTTCTGCATCACGTCCCTGCCAAAACAATTACAGAAATGAAGCTGTCAACAAAACGAGCAAATTGTATAAAAAAAGATATCTTACATCTTTTATTATGCCACAAACAGACTTCAGGAGGGCATTTGGAGAGGGGGGGGGGGGTGTGCAGCTTGCCCCCCCCCCCTATGATGCTTGTATGTTTGGGTTTCACCTCAAGTTTTCGCCCCTCCCCTTTCCATAAATCCTGTATCTTATTTCACTCAGACCTCACTTTTGTTTTCTGATTTTCAAAATTCATATCCATGTTCAAGCTCAAAATACAACTTTTCCTAATAGTTGAATTTCAAATGAAATTCCCCCGTCCCCACAAAAAAAAATATTATATATAGGCTATTTTGGAATAATACTCTTTTAAAGAAACAAATAAGTATTACATATGGTTGCTCATGCAATATCCACACTTTCACATTCAAGCGGATTTTAAATTGAAAACATTCGCTAAAATGTTTATCAAACTGTTAAATTTGTTTTAAGGTTGAACAAAAAAATTGACTGGGGCAGGGTTTGAACCTACGACCTCCAGACTACCGTTCCGGTGCTCTACCAACAGAGCTATCCAGCCCTAAGTTGGTGGTTTCCCAATTTGTCAGCGTCCTTGTTCAAGGGGCGCTACTCAGAAACCATACACCCATATATGCCATGTAGTCAGGGATCATGGCCAAAGTCATGTTGCTAGCAACATTAGCACTGTTGTAGATACTCACAAAGATATGTTATCTAAAATAATACTGCTACTGCTGAAATAGATCTGTTCCACTCTACATTTTTTATTTTCCCCACTTCATTTAAGACTTTCGTGAATGAAGAATAAATGCAATGCAACCTCTTACCTAATGATGCCAAACTGGTGACTTGACATTTGACCAGAGTGACCTGAGACTTGACCACAGTGACCTGAGACTTGACCACAGTGACTTGATACTTGACCAAAGTGACTTGGGACTTGACCAGAGTGACTTGAGACTTGACCCGAGTGACTTGAGACTTGACCCGAGTGACTTGAGACTTGACCAGAGTGACCTGAGACTTGACCACAGTGACTTGAGACTCGACCAGAGTGACTTGAGACTTGACCAGAGTGACCTGAGACTTGACCAGAGTGACTTGAGACTTGACCAGAGTGACTTGAGACTTGACCAGAGTGACTTGAGACTTGACCAGAGTGACTTGATACTTGACTAAAGTGGCTTGGGACTTGACCAGAGTGACTTGAGACTTGACCACAGTGACTTGAAACTTGACCAAAGTGACTTGGGACTTGACCAGATTGACTTGACTCATGAATGAAGAATAAATTCAATGCAACCTCTTACCTAATGATGCCAAACTGGTCGAAGTATCCACCACGCCCTCCGGTGCCAATGGGTTCCTTGAAGGTGATGACCACACTGGCGATGCTATCACGGTTCCAGACGGGACCGAAAAGCCGGTTACCAAACCTGCGGATGAATTACCAGAGAAATGAGAATTTAATTTAATAAACCTGTACGACCGTAGTACGGTGGGTGTAAAAGTGATAGTGAGACCCATATTGGCCGAAATTGGCCCCAGATTTTACTAGGCAATGCTTTGTGCTTACTAGCTTTTTATGGATTTAAGTTGGACACTGAGCCTGAATTCTTACAAGTTTGAATCTGACATTCATAAAATACCTAAGACAGTTTACCCATTCCTATTGATCGAGAGCCTGTCACGTGGCCGGTTTTAAACGGTTGATGAAGACATGGCTGGCTGGTCTTAAAACACTTTTCCAGTGTCACATGAAATTTGGACTCCTATGAAATCTGGTGCCAGCACCGTTCTGTTGGTTGAACGTTCACAATCCTCACGTAGGCATGTGCAATACTGCCAGTGAGTCAGTATTTCATAGTCCTAAATTCACACTACACCGGTACATCTGTGTTCTGCGTGACATCATGCAGTACGCGTGACGCGCATGTCAATCTCCATATAATGAGTTGTATACCAGAGTGCCTTACCACTGTGCAGGGCGAGTCAAAAAAGCAAAACCCAGACGTCAAGACCATTGTTTTAGTGAAGTTCTGCATGTCGCCCTTTCAAAATCTAGGATACAAAAGCCCAATTCATAGGCTTTCTTTTAGTACAAGAATCATTCATATCATTCATGTACTTTTCAAGTTACGGAATTATATTAAACATACATGTAACCACCGTTTTAAAGTTCTGTCCACAGATCACAAGAAGGTAAGTGGTCTTTCAGCAAAACGAAAACAAATCTCATAGGGATGTGCGTGGATTGTTTTCATGTTGCTGAAAGAACGAACACCTTTTTTGTGATACGTGGACAGAACTTTAAAACGGTGGTTGTGTTTAAAGGGAAGATACAACATTTGCAATCATCAAAAAGCGATAAGATCAAACGATAACAAAATATCTTACTTGACTGTTAGTGAATGACAATCTTAAGCGTCCTGTAAAATCGTGGCTCCTGGTGTGCTGACATTTTGATGAAAACTTGTAATTTTCTTACGCTGGTCGGCCGACCATCGTTCGAGAAGAGTGCCTTTTTTTCAAAACTGCTCCTAATTTTTCAGATGTAGTCATTCCGCATTTTCTTTGCAATTGATTACGTATCTGTGCAGGGGTGCAAGCCCGCTAGACTGATTCTGTAAACCTTACAATTCCCAAAGTCTTTATATTGCAACGTCTCACCTAAAGTGGGGTCTGGGAACCAGACTACAAGAATATGGATGGTTTTCTTAGATTTTCCAGCATCTCCGAACCCAAAACGTTAAACAAGCTAGTTTAGCAATATTATTCATAGCACGCTAATCCTCCAAATCCATTTAGTTCTGGAAACTGCAGCAAAAGCAAATCTTGTATATTCCCTTTAAAACTCCGTAACTTGAAAAGTACATGAGTGATTTGAATGATTCTTGTACTAAAAGAAAGGTTATGTATTAGGCTTTTATATCCTAGATTTTTAAAGTGCTACATGCAGAACTTAACTAAAACAATAGTCCCGACATTTGGGTTTCGCTTTTTTTGACTCACCCTGTAAAGCTAGAGGGGAGTTTTGTTGATCAAAATCATTGAAAATTATAATTTGTGACTTGTTTTTACTTTCTGACTGAAAAGTTTTTATGAATGGGAATACATACGGGTATGTGCTTGGTTGGTAGTAAACACTACAGGGTGGTAAAAAAAAAAGGACACCCACATTTGACAGCAATTTTCACCTATTTTTAAAAATTATTTTTAACTGTCGATTAGTAGCTATTAAAGTACTGGCCGTTAAGCAAATGTGACGAAAAAATCGTTGTATTTGCTCATTTTGTCGTTGAGCTATGCTAATTTGAACATTTCATGTGCGAAACCTGTTTATCCATGGAGGTATACATTCCCTTCGCTTGACTGAGCTCAGCTATCAGAGCTTTTGAAAGGGCATGGCATTTGATTGTTATGTTATGTAATGTTATGCAACAATGAACTTAAGCCGACAGCTCATTGAGTAGATGATCTTAACACTGACATGAATAATTGGACAGCTTAAAAGAAAGTCACCATCGCAAAATGTATTTTGGTGGGAAAGTTTTTTAATTTTTATGAACTACGAAAAAAACGTCAAATTTACATGGAATAACCCGTGGACAAGACTGATTTTGGTGACTTGTATTCAAATTAGCATAATATCACAATTTTTGCGACTTTTTCTAAGCTTTTTTTTCACCATGCATAGTTAAAGGCCTATACTTTACTACTATGTGAAAAAATATTTAAAATAAGTTCATTAAGTAGGTAAAAATTGCTGTCAAAAGTGGGTGTCCTTTTATTTTTAACCACCCTGTATGTTTAAGATGGGGTGGAGTCTGGCTGCTGATTATAACCCTCGCATTCAGCTCGGGTAATTATCAGCATTCCAGACTCCGACTGGTCTTAATTAAGTGTTTAATACCTCCCAAGGACATATTTATTCCCTTAAAAATGGCAGTGCTTGCTACTCATTCAGGTTGACCTTTGACCTGACACCAATGATTTATATCCCTTCCCCCACCCCCAAGCGACCTACCTGAGAATCATGATATTCTGCACCATCTCCTTGCCCAGGTAGTGATCGATACGATACAGCTGGTCCTCAGTAAACAATGACTTCAGGTGATTGGACAAATCATTGGATGACTCCAGGTCACGGCCGAAGGGCTTCTCGACGATCACGCGAGACCAGCCCCTGCAAATATGAGGGAACAAAAGAAAGACTCACTCTCGAATCATAGTTGGAAAAGATAGAATGAAATATTACCAAATGACTTTGCAGCATGAAGACTGATATTGGACTCTGTCATATTAACATAGAAATGATAGTTATCTTTCAGAGTCCGTTTATTATTAAGTAGGACGTAGCTTGCAAGGTCATCACGACCTCTTCATTCAGTGTTGTGGCTAAATTCCTCGGCTCAGGTGACCACTTTTAGGGGGGGTCACATAAGAGCAGAAAGCTTAGTTGATCATAAAAGAAAGCTTAGTTGATCAGCATTACTAATTGTAGCAGAAAGCTCCAATTGAACTATCCAAATGAACGCAATATTAGGAGAGTGAATTCTCCATGTACACTGGCTCATTATATGTACTGGTAGCAGTATATGTTATACATGTAGTATAGTCCATCACAAGTCCATAAAGTCCGGTGCTGTCATGATTCCACTAGCACTTAACAGGGGTTGAACAAGAACAAAGACTGCCGACAATTCATTTGAATAGCTAGCGATTTTACTTGAACTGCGGTGGACTTGTGAGGGCTAACACACTGGTAACGGGTACCAACTTGTGAGCCAATAAACTGGCTTTATTCCATGCGCAAAGATTTACATTGTATATATGTAGGTTCAACGATTGTGTCAATGGTTCCCTGCACGTGCTGGATATTGAAGGCTTCGGCCAGGTTCCTACACATCGTCGCAGAGCTGATATACCGACGAATAAGTGAAAACCCTAATTCGAGTAATTCACGGTTGAAGTTGGACTTATTTCTGGGCGTTGTATTTCACCCTTAATGTTTCGATATTAACTTTTTTGGTGTATATCCGAAATAAAATAGGAAACGTAGTATCCATCAGGTTACTTATTTAATCAGAGTAGTTGTGCGATATGTTTTTATTTGATCGTAAACGTATTCGTCAGATAGTCAAATTACAAAATCTCTAATAGCCGGTTGTTTTTCATACTGTTTGTATGCTATTGGTCTGGTTGTCGGATCGCACACTGTACAGCCTTCAGCGCACGCGATCCACTGACAAATAGCATTCATTGGTACTTTGAATGCACGCCTTCCATTAGCTGGTAACCAGCACACTTTCGTATTCGTCACTATGTCAAATTATGGATTTGTTATTATGACTGATTCGCCACAGGTGGGGCCCCGAATCTCAAAACCCAGACAAGAGTTAAGAATTTTGGCATAAATACTTGAAAGAGCAACCTTTCAAAACCACAAAAACGACAAAATCTCAAAGTCGCCAAAATGGTCGATTCACCAGTTTGTCAGCTCTGCGATGATATAGACAGTTTGGGTTAGCAAATAAAATTCTCCTGTCTTGTTTGAATGGAATGCCCGAACAATCTTACGTGCTGGACATGCAGTGTGTCTTGATGTGCTTGCTCACATCCTTGAAGACGTTAGGAGGCAGAGCCAGATAGAAGACCCTGTTGGTCTTGGCGCCTCCTTCTAATCCCGTCAGGACTTCGTCGAGATGCTCAAATGCCGAGTCGTCCGTGTAGGAGCCCTTGACGTAGCGGTTGGCCGCAAAGAACTGCTCCAGCTTGTCCGCCTCGCCATCTTTGAGCTGGAATTTGAGATGGAACAGCAAAAAGGGATAGGAATCGGTGTTGGATTTTGTCACGTTTAGCCAAATTGCCATGCCCTGTTTAAAGGTAGAGTGGATCATTTGCAGCTATTCAAAAAGTAACTGACCAAATTATTGTTAAAAAGCTTACTTGGTTTCAAGATTGTAATGGCACTAAACTCCCTGCGCCATTATTTTATGCCGTCATTTTGAATAAAACAACAACAGAAGGTCATTTCCAAAGATGAGTCAAGTGGCGCATTTTTTGGATTTCCTTTTGTAGTAGTTGGTTTGTAATTATGTGAATCCGTGAATGGGTGTGCGCAAGTGTTGACACGAAGCAAACGCAAGCACAGTTGCTAAGTATTTTCTGTCGGTTCAGTGCTTGACATCGCGTAGCTGCAACCAGCTAAAATAAGAACATGTTCCGGATGCAGATTTCAGACGCAATTAAAATATGACTCGGCAACTTTTGAATTGAAATCCAGATCCTAGAATATTGTTTTCTCGGAATATAGCGCATTCACAGACAGGACAGAGCTAAAAATCCATCAGGCTACTTGATAATCAAGCACCCATCTTGAGATTTTGAGCACTTTTGTGGCTTCAAACAAAAAACTGCACAAATGAATGACAAATAATCTACTCTACTCTGTATTATGAGCAGCAAAATATCACTTCCATTCCAATGAATTCTTCAAGGATTTTGAAAGCTGCTACCCAAACAGGGCAGGCACTCTTAGTACTCAGGATTGGCTCAAAGGGCGCCGCCATTTGGACAACAGTTTTTTGTTGATATTAGTTCGACATCGTTCCATTTGTAGCTTGCATGATCGCAGCCCAGGCCAACAAATGCAAACATGTTGGCATGAGTGGAACGCACAGCACCCCTGGTTGACTGAAAATGTCCGCATACGAGTCAATTTATAGAAATTAGGACTTGTATTTTTAACATACCTTCAAGAACGGAGACGTTCTGGTCTTGATGTCAGTGATGGAGAGAACTGATCGGGCGAACCCGACAAACATGGTCTTCTTGGGCAAAAGGCCATCCTTGTACAGCCACCTAAGAAATCCAGTGATGCGTTACAATTTATGCATTAAATTCAACGTCATGCATGTGTGAGAAACATATGGTACGTGTTAATTACGGAACGGCTACACATTCAACATGTAAAATATAGGGTTCTGCCAAAAATATCCAATATATACAAACATTTGATCATGCACCGAATTTGAAACAATGTGAGACGTCTCAAAGTGATGACAAAATGTCTGTGATATAGATTTTAACCCTAATTTGCATTTTTATAATCTTTACAATTTTTTTCACTGAACAATGAAGATGCCTTTTCACAGTGATCTCAAATAGTACCGTATATCTACTGAGCTGAAATTTTGACGGGATAGTTTCTTTATTAACTTGCTTTGCATTTATTGTACTGTACCGGTATTTCCTTGCATTAAATTGCTAAATAAACACATTTTTTTTGCAAAGATGACAATAACATGACCTTTAAAGGTCCATAAAAAAATGGATCAAGTGGTGCAACCGATACCTCCCGGGTACATGTACATGTACCGGTATCAGCTGGCCCTTAAAAATATTATCCAGGGATACCACAAGACTATACTCACCACAATGTTGGGTAAATCTTCTTCTTTGCTAGGTCACCCTTAAATAAGAAAAAAAACACAAATTGTTGGTCCAAAAAGAGAAAACAAATTGTAATTTTATTATATATTTTACTCCATATTAATTATCAAGCCCTCACTGCTCTCAGGCCTAACTGCGGTTCAATGTACAATTCATTAATAACAAAAAAGCTGTTTACAAGTTACCACAAAAAAAGGTATATTAGATAAACCACACAAAGAGAAACTGACAAGGTCCGTTATATCAAAGTTGAACAAACCATTGATTGGAGCGGGGGTTTGATCCTCGTGTATTTCCCTTTGTGTGGTTTATTTAAAAAATTGTAACAAAATGCCTTATACTCTTTGAGTCATCCCTTTGCTACCAGTATTTTCCGGGTTTGCAGCATTGCTACATGTAATGTCGTGACTTTGGGTGTGATTCCCGGCTACATGGCATTATGGTTTATGGCTTCTGGCCCTGGCACCCCTTGAACAAAGACATTGACAAATTAGGGAACCACCAACATAGGGCTGGATAGCTCAGTTGGTAGAGCACCGCAACGCAATCCGGAAGTTGCAGGCTCAAACCCAACTCCAGTCAATTTCTCTAGAAGAGATTTGGTTTATTGCTATTTATATACAATTGTATACAATAGAAAGTGTACTGGTTTTCGTGCTCAAAAACATTAAAATACATTAAAGCTTTATATTACAAACAACTTTGATTAACTTTGAAAACAAATATTAGACCAACCCTAAACCATTCCAGCCAAGCCCCGCTCCCCAATCAAAATACATATACAACAGATGAATGCGAGTGAAAAAAAGGTTTTTAGCAGATAAGAATTTATGAGCATAATTAGACAAGTTACATACGTCTATATGTATGTAACCCCAAACACTGTCAGAGCTAGATCAGGTAGGCCTACACATGCATGCATATTAAATGCAAGTTGTGTAATAAGACATGGGACAGCACTTTTGCCGTACTTTTCAACCTAGTCTTGCTCCGAGACTGGATTTGGATTTTCTTCCCCTTATACAGCCAGTGCGTGACAAGCGAGGTCTGTATCAACAAGATGAATCAAATCCAGTCTGGGCAATATTGGCAGTACTACCCACGAAAATCCGAGCATACCTGTATTCAAGCTATATGTAATGCATTTTCCCGGGTAGTGCTGCCAATATTGCCAAGGCTCTAAGATTTGACTCATCGTGTTGATAGAGACCTCTTCTTAACAGCGTTTGTCACAGGACCGGTTGCAAAATACGGTAGTGGAATAGAAATCCAATCTTTAAACAAGACTAATTTCAGCCTTGACTCCAGGCTCATTTATACTGGTAATGTCATTTGCGCCTAAGCTCTACATGGCATGAACACTGGAGTTATTTTTGGCAGGGATCCAATATTTCTTAACAATCTGCTGTGATTATTAATAAGGGAATAAATACTTCCGGAGGTATTATAATACTCTGTTTAAAACTGGTGTGAGTCTGGATGGGAGATAATTACCAGAGGCCAAGCCTTCCCATTCATAAATACCTTTTTGGTCAATACAACAATTTTACTTCATGTTTTACGAAACACCCCTCTGACTATAATATGGAATGCCCCACCACAATTGCGTGCGCATTGCGCATTCCACCTCCATGGTCGCGCGTACTGCGCCGCAAAACGCAGCTGGGCTGGTGTAGTGTGAATATCGGACTATGAAATAATGATTCACTGGTAGTATTGCGCATGCATACGGTACGTGGGGAAATTGAACGTTCAACCAATGAAATGTAAAAGGCATCGGATTTCATGGGAGCTAGTCCAAATTTCATGTGACACTGGAAAAGTGTTTATGACCAGCTAGCCATGTCTTTATCATCCGTTTAAAACTGGCCACGTGACGGGCTCTCGACCAATAGGAATGCGTAAATGGTCTTAGGTATTTATGAATTGTGTATTATATACTCACGGATGCACCGAGGATGATGAAGATGTGGAGGTCGTCACCACAAGCTTCGTTCATCGTCCCCTTGATGATGCTCAGCCCCTCCTGGCGATTCTGAATCAAAATCAAAATCAAATCAAATCAAATCAAATCAGTGAGGTTAAGAACCCAATTGCTTGTCATCAAACTTTTTGTGGCCAAATGCTGCTGACTTTTAGAATAATCTCTGCCACCTTCCCTGAATGCTACATTGTACGTGTTGATGTAAAATGGACACAAAAATCCCTCTTCAGTGCTAAGTGATGCCGACATGGATCAGAATTACATGTCCCAAAGGTGATTGAAGAACTGTTTTAAAAGCGCTTTAATGGACCTTACAGTTGCCAAGGTAACCGAGGCAAAAGCCTGTGCATCATCGATACTAACTTTGTGTGCGTGCGCAGTGTACAAAACATGTAGACCAACAATACCATGACATGGACGTACATGTACCGGTACATGTGCTATGATTTGATGAAACAAAAACTGTTTCAATTTTCAGACATTGTTGATTAATTATAGAGATACATCTTAAAAATCACATTTCAATTTCAATGTTGCACAAACACAGAACTGATGCCCTGGCCTACACTGCGCTATGGGGAAGTTTTCAGGCAAATTTGGACGAAGTTTTGGGGACTCACTGCTGTCCCCACAGCATTTCTGGTCCCCACAGCGTTTTTAGTTACCACAAATACCTCGTACAGACGAGTGTAAGTCCCTACAACTACGGAACAAGACATACATAACATGGATACATACATGTAAAGAAGACTTGACAAGAAGTTGCTCTCTGTCGTTGGATCAAACACCGACTGAGTGCTAACCGTACAGTACCGAGCATGTCCCGCCTTGATTTCAGAGGAAAGTGCAATGAATCAGCATTTCCCAACAGTGGCACACTTCAAGAACAACTCATCAAAGCAAGTGGATAAGACACACATTCTCAACAGAAAAAAAAACAACCAGAAGACAGCCGCACTCTCTGCTTCGTTACCGATTACCCTCACAAGTAGGGACACACAGGTAATTGCAGCGACCGCAGTTTAACAACTTGTCCTTGTCAATATAAACACACAGTCAGCGGCGCTCTCGTCTCTCGAGGGTAAACGTCAGCCAGAGTTTCTGCCAACTCATCCCAGTGGCGACTTCAGAATTCTCAATCTCGCCTTGTAATGGTAATTTACGTTCCAAAAGTGCAAAGCAATACCCACCCTCCAAAGTTCAACGTACCCGGTACCGGTACATGTGCCCACAAAAAGTAGGCGAATTGCCTGAAAAATCAAACTTCCAATTGGTCTGCATCAAAATAGAGCTTATCAGAACTTGTGACCCAGATGAACTTCAACCGGCAAGTGTCATAATATCAAGTATACATTGAACCTGTATTTTATTTAGTAAACTGCTGTTTTATGAATGAGACCTGAAACTATGTACAGTTTTCTGAGTGTATACTGTACATGTAGTCCATGTGGTTTATGTCCCAAGTTATTTATGATTTATCACTCAGTTTTATTAACTCAGCAGCTGCGCACAGCATGGATGACTCCATGGGAGAATTGCAGCATCCCATCGGTGTGAGTAACAGCTGAAGATTCTGCAAACAAAGTCCATTTATTTCAGCCGTTGAACACGGGACTTTCTTTATCTAATTGTCAATTTTTAATCATACTTGAACCATACAGTTGCAAGCTACCGTAAAACCTTACCAGTAGGCCTATATAAGTACGGCAAGTATATTATCCAATTAAATGTCCGGAATGCAGCTGCGGCAGTCTCAACATGATTGACCAATCAAATTCCAATGCCAAATTTCAATATTTTATGCATTAAGCGCTTGGCCATTTTCTGTTGGTATGTGTAAGTTCCTATATACATGTATATTCCTCAAACTTCAACAACTGCATGGGAAACCAACATTTGCACAACAGTTGTAGCTTAAAGCCGTGTTCCTATTGGAATTAATTTTGTAAAAAAAGTACCAGTTATTTAACATTCCATTGTGGTTATTCTATTTGCACAAATCATTTGGTTGCACAAACTTTACCGCACCATTTTTTAAAAACTTTTTCACCCGCCTAACGCCAGATGTCTTTGTGGAAAAACACATCAAGAAACATTGCAGACCACAGCAGAAAAAATGGTAGAAACTCACATACATACAAACTTTGTACATAAATTGTACATGTACCTGTAGGCCATCTGTTGGCCTACATGTGCGTATCATACCCTGTGGTGTATGACTTAAGCGGGTCAATAAAGATGATCCGTATGGAAGTCACGTGACCATAACGTTAGTTTTACATAGCAGTGTCCATCCATACGGGACTTTTCTGCATGTTAAACCGATGTAATTCTTCTGCGATCCAGTTGGCTCTTTAACACTAACTGCTGTGGATCGTAAAACAATAGTCACACTTGACAATTTAGGAAGTTTAAGCCTATCGGCTGTTTACACATGTACCGGTATGTGGGGAGTGTTGACTAGTGGTTAGGGGTTCATGACTCAATATCAGAGGGTCAGGGGTTCGAATCCAGCTGCTGGTCATACATGTATGTTGTGTCCTTGGGCAAGCCAATTCATCCCCACTTGCCTCTCTCCACCCAGGAGTACAAATGGGTGCCGGCATACATGTAGATGGGGAGTAACCTGCTATGGACTACCGGTAGCATCCCATCCCAGGAGAGTAGAAATATTCGGTCGTTTCATGCCACTGAAACTGGAGACAAACGCCGGCCTGATGGGCCACATTGGCTCATGACAGACTTAAATACTCCTTTTTAGAAAATAAAATGCTATGGATTCATATTTTTCACATTTGTCTCCACTTTATATATGGCCTGTACCAGTTCCGCCTCATTTTGCCAGATAGAAACGCCTCACATTTATGCAGCCTAACCAAGCCCATCAGATCTAGATAATGTACCGCACATGGACAAGCTTCACACAAGCTGCAGATTCATGCCGACATTACTAAGCAGGTCTGACGGACTGTTCAAAGCATTAAAATGTACAATGGAGGTTCACGCACTTCACAAAGAAATGGCCATGTAACTGAATGCCGTCTTTAATCTGGCATCATTTGTAACTGATATGTCTGCGCCAGGATCATTCCCCCAAACTAGATCACTGACATGACTGCTGACATTTACTACTCACTCAACACCCAGGACAGAAATGAACCGACATTTGTACATGTATGTACCGGTATGTACACTCAACTGAACTATTTGTGGCAATTGAATTATCTTAAAATTCTTCTTGGCTTGTACGCCTCTAATTTTTGGTGTGTCCTTTCAAAACTGTTTTCATGCCACGGAAATTTAAGCCCCTTTGAAAACAAAATGAAGAAAGAAAAAGCAAATCCATCAGTTCCAGTAATTCAGTTTATAAAATTAACATGTTATAAATTCATTGAAACTATAGGCATATGAGATATTATATTAAAGGAAACAAATTTTTTGCTGTTGCAGTAAATTTCAGAAACGGATGGATTTGGGGGTGGGGGGTGTTAGTAGTTTATAGCAACTTACACCGACGTTTTGTGTTTGTTGATACTGGGAATAATAAACAAGAAAAGCAATCATGTTCTTGTAGTCTGTTTCCCTGAAGGTGACCTCATCATAGATGAAAGATGTAAGGGAGCAATTTATAGCTGTCAGTGTCAAGGAATTGTAAGGTTTAGGGAATCAGTCTAGCTGGCTTGTACCCGTTTACGAAGAAAATGCGGACAAAGTATGATAAGTTTGGAGCAGTAGGCTACAATTTGAACAAAAAATCAAATTGATACAAAAATACAACTTTTCTTGAAAATGTCAGCACACCAGGTGCCATGAGACTATCATTCACTAACACCGTATTCGTGATAATTTTTTTTTTATGTCTGCAAATGTTGTGTATATAGGCCTATGTGCTTGACCGGTTCTAATTTTGTACGTTTAAAACCGGCTGGGGGGCCTGGATGACGCGAATGATTTTTAGAACAATTGAAAACACTTTCAAAACTAATAAATAAATAAAAATGTAACAAACCGTCCTATACATTCTTGATATCCTGGTACAGTATTTGGTTGGAGAGAGTCATATAACAAAAATAAGCTTAGGTTACGATAGTGAATTTGTCCATTATACACACAAGCGCTCTTATTTATTATTGGATAATAAATTAAATTAGGCACAGCACATGCACTGCAATTTGACAATCCGGGGAATAGCGAGCCATAGGCCTACTGGGTACCGTATTTTTAATTTAATCATAACTACGCTGTTCTTTTCAAATGATCAGATTAACTTACAAGGACCCAACATTTACAGGCATCTGTGAATTTATAGGCATAGCCTACAGTACAGTCTGAGAGATCAAATGCTATTGGAATTGAAGACCATGAAAAAGATTTTATAAAAAAAAAATATCATACATGTATTTATAATAATGCACAACCATTCGTGTTACGGGACATTGCATTTATATATGAATTATCATCAGATATAAGTGAAATTTATATGCTTTTTTTTTTTTTTTTTTAAATAAAAACGTGAAAAAAACCTCCCCCACAAAACATTTGCTAAAGTCAGAGAAAACTAAGGCGAGGCGTCATAAATAAATTAACCATTCGAACGCGTGCGCACGCTAGGAACGGGGCCTTTTGTTACATCTACCTCCCGTTCGCACGCGTGCTCACGGCATCCCGTTCCGAACGCGTTCTTATACAACAAAAGGCCAGTCACGGTCTGTGCACACACGAAGAGCTCATCGGCACAAAAAGTATCCGACAAATTTTCTCGTCGCTACAGGCTAGCCCGTACAGTACAGGGGGGACCTATAAAAATACGGGCACCTTGAACGGGGAAAGCAGTCCTTTGCAAACTTTACTATCAGTATGTAAAAACCTTGAATATTCGATTTATAATTCGCTGATCGTGTGTACAAGGCCAGTTTATAACATCAGTCAGCAAACTTCTTACAATGTTTAAACTTGTTTTTGTGAACATTATATGCAGTACCGTACCTGCTAATTTACATTTCCGTGCTTGTACCCAAAAAAAGAAAGAATACTCGCACTTCGTTTTACAT